TGGTCTTTGAGGTTGGGGGGCAGGAGGTTTGTGCTGGATAGGTTTCCGCAGCCGAAGGAGAGGTTTGGGAGGGAGTGAGGTTGAGGTTGCGGGCTTAGGAGGTGGAGGGGGAACGGCTGTTGAGGGAGGGGTGGGGATGCGGTAGTGGTATGGCTGTAGGTGGTGACTGTGGTCACATTGAGGAGATATCGAGACTGTATGGTGGCCAGCTCCGTAACTAAAAGGTTTCATGACCTTCAGTTTGTATATACTCGGCAAATACGTACAATGAACAAGGGGCTGTCTACCACTGAACGTGCCCGGTCCATCACTCCGTCCGTCCCGAGCTCACAAGCACTGCGAGTACCAGTCATTCACAAAGGTGCACTTGAATGGGCTAGCGCAAGTCTTGCACCCCGCATACCCATTCCCGCCGCACTGCCCCCATTGGGCCGAAGTGCAACCTGATGGCTGTGTCGGAGGAGCCGAGGTAGTTGGCCCGCCGGGCGTGGCAGAGCTGGTGGGCGTCGGGGTGGTCGAGCCGCCGGTGATACCAAACCACTCCATGTCGGCAGCCCCGTTGACGGCAATGTTGTGAGTGACGCCGGTGCCGTACACGCCGACCAGGTTCGGCCCGTACACGTACTTGGTGTAGGGCGCCGCCGGCGTGTTGGGAAGGGTCTGCTGCGGCTGGCCGTAGGTGTAGCCGAAGATGCCGGACCACTGCTTCATGGTCTCGTTGAAGTTCTGTTGGAATGTTAGTGTCTAGCCTGGTTTGCTTGTTCGGGATCGGCGATGGCTTACAGGAGGGTAGATGGTGGAGTCGGCCGAGCCGTGGTAGATCATCATCTTGGGACGGGAGCCCGTATAGCCGGGGTACATGTCCCGGGCGGTCTTGGCCCACGCGTCCTGGGAGGCGATGGACTGGCCGTTGGCGCAGCTCGAGTTCCAGCCGGCCACGGTGCCCGTGTAAAAGCAACCAGCAGCAACGCCCGCATAGGCACTGGCAGCCTTGAACAGGTCGGGGTAGGTGGCGGCCATGACGTTGGTCATCATAGCGCCGGAGCTCGTGCCGGCGACAAACACACGCTCGGGGTCGGCCTTGTACTGGGAAATGGTGTAGGTCACCATGTTGGCGATACTGTTGCTGTTGGCGCCGCCGCCGCGGGTCAGAGTGGCCTTGGAAGAGACATCCCAGCAGCCGCCGTCGTTGGGCGATTCAGGGTAGATGACGATGAAGCCGTACTGGTCGGCGAGGCGGGCATACGGCGTGCCGGTGTAAAAAGCGTTGGCCGTGCCTGTGCAGTAGTGGATGGCGGTAAGGATGGGAGGCTTGGCCTGCAGGTTGTTGGGAACATAGATGTACATCCTCACTCCCGAGGGGTTGGAGCCGAAGTTGTTCACCCGGGTCAGCGTGGCCCGCTTGACGATCTCAGCGGCGGCCGAGAACGGGGCCAGAGCCAGGAGGCTCGAGGCAAGGGTCGAGAACTTCATGGCGGCGGTCGTTTAGGGGACGATTCGAAACAGACTGCTTGTTCTCGTTCGACGTGTAAAACGATGTGGCAGGGAGCATGGCCTGGGCTTCTTATACATGTTCATGGTTCCACCAGGCTTGGCTCCATGTTCCCGGCGGCGTACCATCGCGTTGACGCATGGAAGCGGCATCATGGCGGGGAGGACTCTGAACGGTGTTGCTTGGTATGCGGACGGTCGCCCTCCGATTGCCGTGGGGCGAGCAGGGGGAGTGTCCATCGGGATCCTTTCCGATCTGGGGCTTTGCCGAGGCGCTATCCGGGGGACGCCGAGAGGGACGGCAAGCGGCGCCGGAGGAGGAGAGGTTCTAGAAGCTATACTTAGCGATGTGGATGTTCCCGGGAATTCTTGGGCGTATGTACCCGGTTCTTGGTAGAACTAGAGAGCTACTAACCGGTTTCTGGTTGCGCTGTGACCTTCAAGAGGATGGGGAGAATGCGGGCTCAGGGGCTTGGCTTCAAAGGACTTGCATACTGCTCCACCCCAGAAAGTGGGCATTCGAGGTTTGTTGTTTCTCGAACTCAGGTACCGGTGCTGGGATTCGCGCGCATCGAAACGCCTCTTCGAAGGAACCCTCTAATTCCGGTGGCCCGACCTCCTCAACCCACAACCACATGCCGGCCAAAGGGGAAGCCTTGTCGAGACAGTTGCTTCAATGTCACACCGAGCCCAGACCTCTGAAGCCAAGAAGTTGCAGCGGGTACTGCATTGGCCCTGTGTGGAAGGAAAAAAAAAAGCATTCGGTTCACTCGACCCGCTGCCGCTTTTTGCCTGAATCATTAGTGTGAAGGGCCTCTTGCTCAAGGCTGACCAGGTACGTGGGACAGAGAATGATCTAGGCGGAAGAAACAGCCCATGGCGCTTGAGATTGACAAAGTATCTCGGGTACTACCTCGTGACGGCTTCACCCTCTGCACCGTTGCGCGGCTCACTCCGCAACCCTGCCTCCTCCTTCTTCTCCCCCTCGGAACTTCCAGACACTTCCGCAAGCTGCCCCTTCTCTTCATCCTTCACTTTTCCGTTTGCGACCTTGTCCAGGCGGTCTTGGTTTGACTGCTTCAGGTGATCCAGACCCGTCTTGGTTTCTGTGTGGTCCTTGCTGAGCTGGCGCGAGCCAACAAGGAACGAGACCAACAAACCTAGCCCGGCAAAGGCGACGTACATGATGTACATAGTCCGCAAGCTGTCAAAATAGGCCTCCCTCGCGATCTGCTGTTGGTTCTCGGGAAGGTCCTTGACGAGACCGACGCTGGACGCGGCGTTGCTGCCAGAGAACAATTCCGCAGCTTCTGGCCCGAGTTGCTCCCGAAGTCGGGGATATTGCTTCTCCATGCCGTTTTGGAACACCACGCCGCCTATGACGATGGAAATCGAGGCAAACAGCTGCCGAAGAAAGGCGAAGGTGCCCGTAGCCGAGGCCATGTCACGGGGCGCAACCGTCGTCTGAAGAGCGATGAGAGGGGCCTGGAAGTTCGGGCCAACTCCGATGCCGGCCACAAGCTGATAGATGATGATCTTGGTCCAGTTCGCCCGCGGCTCGAGGTCGATGAAGAGACCGAAGCCGAGGGTCATGACGGCCATGCCGAAGATGATAGAAGGGAGGTATTTTCCCGTCTTCTTGATCACGAGGCCCGTGCCGGCGGAGACGAGGGAGAGGGACATGACCCACGGGAGAATATATACTCCCGACATCAACGGCGACGCCCCCAGGACGGCCTGAAGGTACAGCGGCAAGTAGTAGCTGCCCGAGAGGAAGACAAAACCCTGCAACGCCCCGGTCAAGAGAGACGCGCCGCTGGATAGGTTGCTGAAGAGGTACATGGGCACCAGCGGGTACTCGGCGAACTTCCACTCGATGAGGATAAACAGGCCCGCCGTGACGAAACCAAACACGAGCAGGCACACGACGGTTGGCGAGCTCCAGGGAAAGGTGACACCGCCGAGCTCCAGCCCGAGCATGACCATCAGGGTGGCGCCCACGACAGTCACCGACCCAAGCCAGTCGACGGCGGCCAGGCCCTGGCGCATGGGCGTACGCGGATTGTGCAGCTTGAGCACGAATGCCAGCACCGCCATGCCTACGCCAGAAATGGGCAAGTTGATGTAGAAACACCACCGCCAGGTCACCTCACTGGTGAAAACACCGCCGAGCACCGGCCCAACCGCCGAGGCCACCGCCCACACCATGCCCATGGCCCCGAAGTAAACCCCTATTCAACGTTGTCAGCTCAGTCAACTCAACACACCACACCCCCGTGACCACACCACCCCCTCGAAAAACAGCAAAAGAAAAAAGGCCCAACTCACCCCTCTTCCTCATCGAAAACAAATCACTAATACACACATTCACCAAAATCACAATCCCGCCACCCCCCACCCCCTGCACCGCCCTTGCAACAATCAACATCCCCATATTCACACTGACCGCACTCAACAACGACCCCACCCAAAACACAGCCACCGCAATCAGCATAATCGGCTTCCTCCCCCAAATATCCGAGATCTTGCCCCACATGGGCGCGGCCGCCGCCGTCGCCAGCATGTAGGCGGAGCCGATCCACGTGTACCCGGCGGTGCTCTGGAACTCTTGCGCGATGGTGGGGACGGCGACCGTCACGATGGTGACGTCGAGGGCCGCGAGGAAGAGGGCGGATGCGAGGGCGAGCAGGATCATGGTGGTTTGGAGGGGGGTGCGGGTCTCTTCGGGCGGGGGGCTGGTAGTGGCGTCCGGGGTGGTGTTGTCGCCCTTTCCGTCACCCTCGCCTTGGGGGAGGGGGACGGTGGTGGGTTGGGAGTCATTGGGTGGGGGTTTTGAGGGTGGTGATGTGGTGATGTTGTGGATGGAGGAGGCCGTGTCGTCAGTGCTTGGCACGAAGGAATCCTTCTCCTCCTTGTCTAGTCCGGTGATGGACGGGGTGGCGGCGCCGGTCATGATGTCTTAGTCGGGGTGAGATGTCGATAATTATATGAAGAAGTACCCAATTAAGTAAAAGGATGGCATACAAAATGTCCAAAACAGGATGCGGACTAAGTTTAGACTTATTAAACCAACTCAAGCGCTTCAAATTGCTTCATTGGCAGCCATTGTGTTGACAAGAAAAGTCAAAATGGTACTTTTCTCCAATGCCGGCATTTCTCAAATGAAAGGCGCTGGGGATGGTTAAATGCTCTGCTCTGACGAAAGAAAACCTCGTGGTAACCGTTCCGAGGAGGGTGTGTGGAGCTCGGCCGGGTCCGATCCCCGAGATGAGGAGTCCGGGGGCAACACGGACATGCAAAAAATGCTTGATCCTTCCTTCGACTAGATGCTGCAAGGGGGGATGGAAACCCAACGTTTTACCATCCTGTCCCTGAGAGCTTGACCAACCCGTTTTTTCTTTGGTTATTTCCTTGTTTCCTAACCAGCCAGAGAAGTAATACGAACACTCCTTTTCTTTTAAGTGGCAAAGAAAAGGGCGGCAAGGGGCCACCCTCTCTGTGGTGATCGAGAACGGCATCTCGGCGTGCCCCATCTGTGGTGCCCCAACATGCAAACAATCCCGGCTCGTAAGCCCGGCTTAGCCCCGAGCCGGCAGTTGACCGACCCTGGCTGGCATTACCAATTCTTTGCTTCACGGCAGCAATTTCATCGCTCCTCGGACCAGTGAGTCATTCGGTGCGTCTCGATCAGAGATCAGGGTTGCAACGAGAAAGAAAAGTGCAAGCTCGTCACGCTCCACAACAGGAACGCCATGGGAAGGGAAGGGGCTCGCGCAGAAGAAAATGAAGAGAACGCTGTAGGCCTAAGTTGCTCATATGTATGTATAAACATCACAAGAACCCAGAATCCGAGCGCGTCGTCGCAAGCCAAGCCGTGAGGTAGCGGCGGGATTCCTCTATCAACTCCCTCGCTGCAAGACTCCCCACCGCATGCAACCCATTATCTTATCTACATCCACCACTCTGCGCCGATATATACAAACGAGCGGACAAAAAGGAAAAAAAAAAAAAAAAAAAAGGCACTGTTAACGACGCGCGCGCGAGATGGCAGCCGCGCTCAGCGCAGTGGTCGACGCAGCCCGCTCCACACCATTGGCCGGCAACGGGGCCGGCGTGGTGGTCCTCGTGGGCGGGGCAGAGCGGTTGTGCTGCATGTGCGCCCTGACCAAATGGCCAGCCGCCAGAGCAGAGCACAGTGAGAGCTCACCAGCCAAAACGGCGGCGGCGACGACGCGGGCCAACCGCCGAGCGTTTTCGCCCGGGCTGGTCGGGTGGGGTCCGCGGACACCGAGCATGTCGAGCATGGCCGCCTGCGGCTCGAGGATCGTACCACCGCCGAGAGTGCCAACCTCGATGGACGGCATCGAGACAGTGATTTGGAGGGATCCGCGGAGGCTATTCAAGGGTTAGCTGAACCTTCGCTTTGCCAGTGTTAGGAAAGGTAACTCACTTCTTCATGATGGTGATGCAGTTGGCGCTCTCCACCACCTGTGCCGGATCCTGACCCGTCGCGAGGAACACGGCCGCCACGATGTTGGCAGCGTGCGCATTGAAACCACCAACCGAGGCCGCCATGGCGGAGCCGATCAGGTTCTTGTTGATGTTCAATTCCACCATGCTGTCAACATCCGTCTTGAGCACCGTCTTGACAATCTCAGCAGGGATGATGGCCTCGGCCACCACGCTCTTTCCGCGCCCGTCGATCCAGTTGATGGCCGCAGGCTTCTTGTCCGTGCAGTAGTTGCCACTGACCGACACAATGTTCATGTCCTCGAAACCCTCGCCGACCATGACGCTGAGCGCGTGTTCGACACCCTTGGAAATCATGTTCATACCCATAGCGTCACCAGTCGTCGTCTTGAAACGGATGTAAAGGTTCGTGCCGGCAATGGCGGTCTTCATGCTCTCGAGACGGGCGAAGCGGCTGGTGGAGTTGAAGGCCTTCTTCATGACCGACTGGCCCTTCTCCGAATCCAACCACAACTTGGCCGCGCCAGCCCTCTCGAGGGTCTCGAACGAAACGCAGGGACCGCGGGTCATGCCGTCAGCAGTAAGAACGGTGACGGCACCGCCGCCCGAGTTGATAGCCTTGCAACCTCGGCTCGTGCTAGCAACCAGGACGCCCTCAGTCGTAGCCATGGGGATAAAGTAGCTCTGTCCGTCAATTACCAGGGGTCCGGCAACGCCAACGGGCAAGGGCATGTATCCAATAACGTTCTCGCAGCAAGCTCCGTGCACCTGGGCCCAGTTATAGCCCTGATACGGGAGCTTGGACCGCTCGAGGACACCGGTCAAATCAGCCGTTGCCTTGGTCCGCGAAATAATAGTCCGGCGAATCTTGACGGCGCGCGTGAAGTCCTTCATCGTTTTCTCCAGGGCGTAGCCAGGGATCTTGCCACGCATCGAAAGCGCCACGACCTCCTCGTCGTTGAGCTCATGGGCGCGCTTATCCAGGAGCATTTTTTCGAGCTCTTCCTTGCTGCGGATGACAAGCGGCTGATCGGCGTGCTGGGTGTCGGCCCGAGAAGGCGGTTGCGTGGAGTCGGCTTCGTCATCCGTCAAGGCAGGAGTTGGCGGAATGGATGGGGGAGACGGCGGGGGCCTGTATCCTCCCACCGGGAGCGTGGCTGACTCGGTGTCGTTGAACTTTTGCGCCTCGGCGAGTTCCCTGGGGTTGATCGGGTGGTCGGGGACATTGGGGTCCTTGATGCCCGCCCTCGCAGCGTTAAAGAGGTAGCCGTTCAAGGCCACGCTCATGGCCAGAGCAACAATGATCCACTTGGACAGGATGGGGTCTTCCAGGCTCTTAAGAATGCCGCCCACCATCCTGCCTCCGACGCCGTAGCCGGCGAGCTCGCCAAAGCTATCTTCGTTCTTCTCGACGGACTGCGGCAGATCGTAATGGATCGAGGGGAACTCTAACTCGTAGCGGATCGGGGTGAGGACCGAGACAATCGTCTCGCGACCCTCTGTCCTCGCGGTTTCGAGTACCAGGTCGAGCCCATTGGAGGCGACCTTGAATGGGTCGATGGGAGGGGGGGTGACAACACCGCCGAGACCGCGTGCCCATGACGAGATGTGCGAGATGGAATTGGCGCTGCGGAAGGGGATGGTGCAAAGATTGACAGCGTTGATCAGAACAAAACCCGAAACCATCAAGACCTTGAACTTGGGAATATGAGTGCTCTTGATTTGGCGGCCGAAGATAGTAGTTCCTGGTTCGTCCTTGCCATCGGCCCTAGCCCAGTCGTTGCTCTGCGCGACAGTCTCGGCGACGCGGTGGCTCACACCATCATCTTCAAGCGCCTTGCGCATCTCGACATGGCGCTTGATGCGGTTGATCTCTAGCTTGATGCAAAGAATGGCGGTGTAGAAGGAGAAGAGCAGGATGCAATCGAAGAACAGAATCCAAGCGGCCAAGAAGCAAAATTGTTGCAGCCCTCCCTGGACGCCGGAAGCTGCGCCCAGAATCAGGATGCCAATCTCAATGGCGTAGTCCTTGACGATGCCGAATCCCTTCTCCTTGATTGCGACGTAGATGGCAGACTGGATAACGCTGCCGGACACATCTGTCTTCTTGGAAGACTTTTCGGGTCTGCGATGCTCAATGGCGTGAGAGAGGACGGCGCGCGTGAGCACAATGTTCTTCTCAAACCCGATGGTGACAACCAGGAACGGCAGGCCTTCAGAAAGTAGGACCATGGAAACCGGGACGCCGAGCTTGGTAGTGACGAGGAGACCGAAGAGGAAAGAGAAGGTAGAAGAGAAGAGGACGCTCATGGCGAGCCAGAAGTTGGAACCCAGGCGGCGCATCGAGAGGAAAAGTGAGACGAAGGTGAGGTGCATCGAGATGTAGCCCAGAGCCATGATGATGATGTCGAGCGTCTCGGCGTTCTTGAGGAGGTCAATGAACTCGACCCAAGCGTTCCGAGCCCACCTCACGAGGCTGCTCCTGGTCTGCGCCCTAGCCGCCTTCATGATCCACATCTTCTTCTCCCGGCCATGCTCCGTCTCTCTCGTCTCTTGCGAGGGGATGCCATTGGGGATTTCTTGAGCGATCGTGAGGAACTCGGACGCCTGGGTGTAAGGAACAGCAAAAGCCAAAGCGCTGTCTTGCGAGTATGTGGTGAAGGAGTTCGAAGTTGACGGCAGGGTCCGGATCGAGAGGTTTTGGGGAATCGGCACCGCATCGACCAATGGAGGGGCCTTGGAGGGATCCGCCGACGTCGAGTCAGGGAATACAAGTGTAAGCAGAGCCAGGTAATCGGCGGCCGCGGGAATCGAAGCCTCAGTGTCATAGTTGTGCCATTTCCAGGCAGTATCTTCGGCCGCGCGAAGCAGCCGGCTGCCCTCGTTAAGGGAGGACCATTCCGCCCCCCTCACACTCCTTGTCGCATCAAACAGGCTCTCCTCGAGGAGGCCAATGTAAGAGGTGCTAGCCAAGAGGGCTACGACAACGATAGTATGGATCGGGTGCGTCGAGGTGAGTCGGGCCAAGACTTGCAGAGGCGGCGTAACCTTCTTGCTCAACCACGAGGGTGCGACATTCTGTGATGCCGGTTGTTCCCCGCGAAACCGCGCGGGCAAGATATTTGCGGCGATCATTATGGTATAGAGGATGCGGTTATCGGAGCTCGCGCGACATCGAACAATTCTCGTGCGGAGACTGGGAGACGTAAACTGATAACGCAATTAGCTTCCGACATCACCCTGGAAAGTTAAACGAGGAGCCCGCCGATCCACAATACGCATTACGCGTCGACGCGCACCCCATCAGCCACAGCGATCACCGGACTGGAGCCCTAGGCCCCTGGGCGGAATCGGAGTAGCGACGGCACCACGTAGTAACGGTAGAGTTTATTATGCGAGCTATGCAGGAAGCTGACAGAAAAGGAGAAGAGGGCATAGGCTTACCAAAGACCAAGGGGCAGGGACTTAGGTTCGCGTTTGTGCGATACAAGCAGTTGCGCAATGCGTCAAGATGTAAGATATACGGCCCAACTGCACTACGTTGAGTACGCTGTGTCCGACTATCGGTTCGGCGACCCTGGCTGTTGAAGTGCCGGTGGATGTGGTTCGAACCGTCTCCTATCGAAGACTATCGCAGCTCGAACCGACGGTCGAGGGGGTAGGCCGGCGTTGGCTCTTGGTTCTTGGTGGGAGTCCCCTCACGCTTGCACAGTGGCGCGGTGTTGAATTGGGCGTTGAGAGAGACCTGCGGGAAACAACCACCGAAAGAAACCGGGCCTCCTCTCGCTTTTCCAAGGCGGTGATCGATCTTTAAAAAAGAATTTCAATCTGATGGGAAAAGACGGTGCATCACCGTTTTCCGCATGACAGGGGCAGCAGGGCTGGGAGGTTCCAGCCTGCGCCATGCAGCCACTGTGTTCCAGCCAACGGCTGCCAGCGATTGGCAGAGCTCCACAGTCATCCGATCCAAGCTAGCGTGGCAAGAAACGGATGGCTTGGCGCAGATGCCGAGCTGTCTCGCGCACTGGCTGGCAGCTGCTGCTGGCGATGCCTGCCCCTTTTCTTTTCCTGTCTAAGTTAGTGCGTTGCTCCACTTTCAATTCCTTCGTTGAGCCCGTTTATTTGGGAGGCGGTCAGGGGCTTTGACATGGAAAGATTGTTCTGCTCCGGATACTAGTATTGTCCTTGACGGTCCTCTTTGTTCTGAGCGACCTCCTCAAGATCGAGATCGAGGGGAAGGTGGCTCGAAGCTGCTTTTACCAGCCGTCCGTCCCCACCTCTAACCTGCAGGAGCCCGCGTGCGAGATGAGATCAGGGCACCGAACGGCGTAGCGGATATTATTGGAGATCGGACGGCGGTTTGCCAGGTGACCCACTGTAGAAACGGACCGGTTCTGGGGATGGTAACGGACCCAGCCCTGGTCTGCCACGACTGCTCTTCTGCGGTGACGAAAGTCTCACTCGTCGTGCTGAACATGCTGATCATGCAGATTCATCGCTTTGAGAGCCCCAACAATCGGTTTTCTGACTGTGTTCTGTCCCACAACATTTGCTATTCGATTGCCAACTTTTGGAGTTGGTCCAAGCGGCTGGGGCATCTCCCATAACTACCAACCTAATTTCAACATGCCCACCAAACCTGTGGCTAGCTCCCAGATCCGTAACGGACTCTACACAATAAGCAGCCCATTGCAGTCTTCCATATCCTCGCTTCATCTGGTCCTCCCAGGCGCATCTGCGCTTTCTCAGCGGCTTTTGGTGTTGGTTGTTGGGATGGTTAAACATATCTTAGCTAAGCGGTGTCTTTCTCTCGCCAAGGCTCTTCAGGCACAGCCGTTCGGTATTCCACTGCCAAGAACAGAAACCTTGCGTCCTTGCATTATCTTATCGTAGCCTGCCCCTCCATGCCACATGTCAAATCGAGGGTTCCGCGGTCACGGAGCACCCGAACCCGTCACACGAGAGGTAACCTGGAATGCCTTTAGCTTCCTCCGCTTCATCGGTTCTCATTGAGAAAAATCTCTGCAAATCATACCAGAAACAGCCCGACGGTGGGAATTTCAGCCGCAAACATGGCCGACCCCGCGTTCCGGCCCGCGCTGTTGGTCATTGACATGCAAGAGGACTTTTGCCCTCCGGTAAGCCATCAAACTCACTCATGACTCCAACTCGTATGATTCCATGAGCCCAACAAACATGTGACCATTTCAACCTTGCAAACAAGTGTTGCCTAGTGCACACTTTCTTGCGGGTCCGCACCGCTACTAAGCGGGTGAGGGAATACCGGGTCGCCTCCGCTGTCTTCCTGAGCATCATGTTGTTTCTGAGCAGCCCGCTTGGTAACATCCACCAAACACATCTCCCCCAACTAAACATCCCCTCACAAAACACCGTTCCACCTAACCATCCGCCCATTTCCCCACCCCCAAAACTAACCAACCAGCACGTCCATAACCAAACACCCCAAGTAACAAACCCAAACAGAACGGTTCCCTCGCCGTCGCCGAAGGCCGTGACATTACCCCCCTGATCAACACGCTCCTCGCCCTCCCGAGCACAACCCTCCCCCTCAAGATCGCCACCAAAGACTGGCACCCGCCCAACCACATCTCCTTCGCCATCAACCACCACGACCCGCCCAAACAGCCCTTCACCGACACCACCACCATCACCAACCCTTCCAACCCCTCCGAGACATACACGACCCGCCTCTGGCCCGCCCACTGCATCCAGCACACCCCGGGGGCCAACCTCATCCCGGAGCTCGACACCACCAGTCTCACGCACACCATCGAGAAGGGCACCGACCCACGCGTGGAGATGTACAGCGCCTTCTACACACCCTTCACATCCCCACGGGTATCAGACAGCGGGCTGGCGGCCCTCCTACGCGAGGCCGGCACGACCCACGTGTACGTGGTAGGGCTGGCGGCGGACTACTGTGTGCGCAGCACGGCGGCAGACGCGGCGCGCGAGGGGTTCATGGCGGTGGTGATCGAGGAGGCGACGCGGGCGGTAGATCCGGCGGGGTGGGCGGTGTGTAGGGGGGAGATGGAGGCGGAGGGGGTGCGGGTAGTGGGGTGGGAGGGGGAGGAGGTGAGGTGGTTGTTTAGGGGGGATAAGTAAGTAACAGGGCACAAAAGGGGGGTTGTGGTTTGGGCGTGGGAAGGGGGCTGCTGGTTGTGGAGCGATGGTGTTGGGAGGCCAACGATATAGACCCAATAGATTCGGGACCGGTAAACGTAACAATTGAGTTCATTCCTCATGCTTCATTAACTTGTATACATTCGAATACCCAGCACGACTGAGCAGGACGGCATTGGCTCCCCAAACTCCTAAAAAGTGAGCTGCTGCCGAATGCCAAACCCCGCAAATCCCCAACTCCACCCCTGAACCATAAACCTACTTACCGACCCACGCGGATCACGCCGGCAGCAATCAGCTTCTGGATCTTGTTGCGAACGCCGGGGTTCTTCATGTGCTCCGACAGAGCGGCGGGGTCGGACTGCGCCTGCTGCAGGATAGCCTGCATCACAGGGTCTTGCATGATGCCCATAATCTATCTCACAGTTAGCATCCCGTAGCAATAGTACCAATACCTCGTAAACTCACCTCAGGGTCCCGCATCAAACGCTCACGGGTCTGCTCTTCCGTCTCGTTCTCCCGCGCCGAGTACATGGCGGAGAAGGCCTTCTGCTGCTGCTGCTCAATCTCCTTGGAGTTGGCGCCGTTGTGATGCTCGGCATCCACGTTGAGGGCCTCAGTGCAAGCATCCACGCACTTGCTGTACTCGCGCATCCCGAAGTAGGCCTGGGCCTTGCGAATGTAGGCGCGGATGAACTTGGGGTCCTTCTTGATGGACATGTCGCAGTCATCGAGCGCGCTGGGGAACTCGAGCAGCTTGATGAAGGCCGCCGCGCGGTTGCTGTACCCTCGGGGGTCCTCGGGCGCGCGCTTGGTCATCTCGGTGTAGGCAGCCACCGCACCTGGCCAATCCGACTCCTTGAACTTTTTGTTACCCTCCTCGCGTGCCTCCTCGGCCTTGGCGGGGTCGATGTACGCCTTGCGCGCCGCCTCAATCTTGTTTCGCTCGGCGGCCCGAACCTTGTTGACCACGTCAGGCGTCCGGTGCTCGCGCAGCGACTTGTTGTAGAAATCGATCGCCTGGGCGAGGTCACCCTGCTTCTCATAAGCCGTGCCGATGCGGGCATAGGACTTGGCGATGACCTTGAAGTCGGCGTACAGGCTGCGGCCCTCCTCAGCGGCCTTGGTGCAGGTCTCGATGCAAGCCTGGTAGTCGCCCTTCTCGAAGTGGGCAGCACCGAGGTTGTTGAGGTAGGTGATGTCCTTGTGGAGGTCCCAAGCCGCCTGGTAGTGCTTGATGGCCTCGTCAAAGTTTCGCTTCTTATAGTTCTCGGTTCCCAGGGCCTTCTCCTTGTCGGCCGCCTCCTTCGCCTTCTTTTTCTCCAGGGCTTCGTCATCCAGCTCCTCCGGCTCGGGTTCAGGCGCCTTTGCCGGCTCGGGCTTCTTAGGGGGGGCCTCCGACATCTGCACATCTTCCTCGGTCTCCACCCGCGAGCCAGAGCCGCCGGCCCCCGGATCAGCAGACTCACGCATCTCCATATCAACGCCCATCAGCACACCAAGGACCTGGATCATCCGCGGGTCGCTGAACAGGTCTTGCATGTTGTTCGGGTTTTGTTGGATCGCCTGGAGTTTGGCCATGAAGGTGGGGTCGGCGAGTAACGAGCTAGTCTTCGGATTGCTGGCAAGCTTCTGGATGAGGTTGGGATCCTTGAACATATTTCCCAGGCCACCCATTGGGTCAGCGCCGCCGCCTTGTACGTTGTTAGTGAAAACACATCCTTAGAATTGAAAGGCGCGCGGGTACACCTACCGGGACCCCCTGCTTCCTGTTCCATGGCCCTCTTGACCGATGCCAGATCATTCTTCATGCCGGCATTGTTCGGGTCGATCTTCAGGCCCTGCTCGTAAGCGTCATGAGCGCCCAGAAGGTCACCCTTCCCGTACAGTGCTGTTCCCTTGCGCCCCCAGCCCTTGGGCCAGTCGGCCTTCAACTCCGTGGTCTTCTCAGCATCACTCAGTGCATTGTCCCAGTCCTTCTTCGAGGCGTATGCGGCCGACCGGTTGCTGTAGAGGATATGGTTGCTGCCATCGAGGGCAATGGCCTGTGTGAACTTGTCGCTACAATCGCTGTAAGCCTCTATCCTCTCATTTGTCGTCCTTCTCATACCAAGCTAAACGGCTAACTTACATGGCGTCGTCAAAGTCCTTGGCGGCAATGGCCTTGTTGCCCAGAGCCTTGAGCTCGTCGGCGGTTGACATGGCGACAGCAACTGGGTGTACAAGGGGCTAGAAATCAGGATGGCTCGGTTGTGTCAAAAATGTCGTTGATCTCTGGAATGGAGCGTCTGGTTACGATCAAGAAAATAATGGGAACTTCCAACGAAGAAATTAAAATGCAGAGACAGCCGCTGCACCAGGCTCGTGGAAAGCTCTGGACTTTCGATGCCTTTCGATCGAAGTCTAAGCTCGTGATTGGTTGTAACGACCGGCCCCACAGCGGCGGGCGGGGTGGTTCTCGACCCTTTGGCGGGGCAACTTGGCGCGGATCAACAACCCCTCAACACCAAATCCTGTCATCATCAAAATGGATCTAATAGTCGGCTCTTCGTACAGCCCTCATTTCCCTTTTTACAACAAGGCGGGCCTTTTTGCGTCCATACTATAACCTAATCACTGCATCTCCAATCTACCTCACGCGGTAACCTTCTCTTGTTCCGACCGACACCAGCACTCGGGACCAACAAGAGGAATGGCTTGCTCGGAAAACTAAAGACAAATATGACCCGCGAGCTTTGATAATAGGTTCCTGGAGGAATAATCCTGAAATGTGTTAAGCAAGTGCAACACCCGTGCTCCCTTGATGACAGCAAGGTCAACACCCAGTCATGGCAACGTTATGTATCGACCAACCGAACGACCCCTGTGATGTAATATTCATGTGATCATTGTCTGTGCTTAGCGAGGTTTTGAATTCTTAACCCTGGCCTGATGGGCAAGCCCCCAAAGTTCTTGCACACTGATCCCCTCCCATTCACTGCCCGGTACCCCCTAATCCAGGAAGCTCCTTCGCCCGTCACCATTCATTCTCGGCCATCACTAGCTCCACAAAAGTATTCGCAGTCATGAACTGAAAGGAAAGAGCTTAGCCTTTCTTCTTTTAAATTTGCTTGCCTCTGGCTTAGGGCTCGCAATGTCCAGTTCTTGGTCCGATTTATGCGCCTCTTTCTTCGAGTGCGACTTAACTCAAACGTTGACGGCGTCCTCTAGCTCGGGCTTCTCCCCGATCGAGATGGATTACGTATTATGCCGAGACCTCTTCGTCCTACGTTAATGTAATCGACTGGCCTTCAATCTTATCCCTCGGTTCCCTGTTCCCATCTGGATGAGGCTGGGCATCAGATTGCCTCAGGTTTTCAAGCGCAGTGCCGATGATGGACCAAGAGGCCGGGATGATTTGACCCAAACCAAACAAATCCAAACAAGGCAAGTACGGGCAAATCTGTGCCAAATCAAGGCAAATGTGCCTTTATATTCGGTTTGTTTGTGTTATGGGGTGCCTTGAGCACTTGTTCAGAGCCCACACATGGACTCATAAATACCTTACTGACTTAAGGAAGGGGGGTAAGGTACCTAAGGTAGGTAGGTATGTAGGTAGGTACCTAGTTAGGTAACTTACCTTCCCACCTCGTTGGTCCCCAACTTCCAACCTTGTCGCAAGGCTACAATACATTACCCACGTTATTTCTTCCACCCGAAAATGGCAACCGATTTTCATTTCTTTCCCTTTCTCCCGTGGGAGCTTAGGGACAAAACCTGGAAATTGGCAATCCGGCCGGCTCTCCCAGGAGCGCACGTTTTTAGCATCCGCGATACCAACGATCCAGAACACGCCGACCCGGAACACCAAACCCCTCGCGATGATTACCCGCACATCTCAGTATCGAGTCTTGCCGCGCCGCGGTGCTTGCCGAGGGGAGTCGACTTCAGCCCGGCTGCGCAGGCAGCAGTCCCGATCTCGTGGGCGCTCAACAACCCATCAACCTACCTTATCAACAGCGGTCTTTGGGCGGCCTGCAAAGAATCACGACTAGCCATCGAGAAAGGGCTTCAAATTCCAGGAGAGCGACGAAGAACATGGGGTTCTTCAGAGATAGAAAACTTCCGGAAGGAACAAGGCCGCTTCACTTTGCCGGAAACGGCCATGTATACAACCTCCGATAACTCTAGACGCTGCTATCTCACTGTCTTCCCTGAACAAGATCTTTTTATCCTACAGTCACACGATATCACATTTCTTAACTGGAACCGTATATGGAATAGGTCAGGCTTCCCATCTCACATGGCCCTGGAATACGACCCCGCGTGGGATATGGAGGTCCCTGGTTTTGAAGATATAGTTTATCGCACCGCTGAAGCGGGTGCACTCTCTCTTTGGTTTATCGATTACCGGATTAAGCGCAATCCGAGATACACAGGGCTCCAAAACACCTACCCCAAAATCTTCTATGCGAGTGGCCGCCGGTTTGTAGAAGTAGAGGTGAACCAGCTTGGAGGCTGGGCTGGGGATGACCGGATGTGGGATGCTGGCTACGAAGTTCCAACAGAGGATATTTACTCTTGCTCTGACTCGTATGGATTTGTCAAGCAGCTCAACACTACTTTGGAGTATCAACGGGAGGACATAGAGTACTATTACCTCAATTGGGTCGACTATGGGCTTCTTGCTTGCGAGTATCTTTGACAAGAGAGCTGAGCCGCTCTCAACTGGACGTGATCCGGATTCCGGGGCCACAAGACCAACCTTCCCAAGCACGCCGTCGAGGACCCGCCTCCAATTTGGCGTCTCGTTGATGCCCCTCGAAGCTACCGAAGTAAGTACCGAGTTAGGTACCTCAGTATGGACCTTAATTCCTCCCCGGTTTCGTATTTCCTATTTGGCCACACAGCCGGACTGGGTGCCCCTTCCTAGATCCATCTCGAAGACAACGTAACTCTCGACTGGTACTGCAACGCACTGGCCCAGATTCAGATCCTTGACGAGCGTTTTGCAACCGCGAAGGACTATCTTGGCAAGGACACTTGGGGGTATCCGCACGAGAAGGTTTGCCGTAGCTACCTAAAGTAGAATTCCTCGAGACAAGCTCCCCAAGTGCACGCCGTTCTTGTGTCCTTGAAATTTGCGGATGTCATCGGAAAGAATTCCCTTGAAGGTCGTTGCTGCTTTACATTGCTCCTCCCGTGACTTACCACTGTTATTTCAGCGATTAATTAGGTTGAATTCCCTCGAGACTTGTTTACTTTTTTCTCTTCATCCTCACCAGCAGCCGGTACGACCCCGCCCCCCACCCCCCGCCTCCGAGTGCCGCCAATCGACAGCTTTTAATCCTATACTGGCATTTCCCATCCATTAGCTTCGGTCGTCGACAAGTATCCTTGAAGGACGCTAACATACCGCCCATCTTCGATAGACGGCTTCCAGAAAGCGCGTTGGGCCGGGGATGCGTAACGCGGCGCAACTCCATGCTGACTCTATATCTTTTTTTTCTGGCGCACAACTACTGGGGTAGTTCGACCATAATGGTCTGGATTTGGTTTGCAATGCTAACACGGTCGTATAGCGTGCGCCTGCTCGATAAGAGTATGAGCTATCGTGCAATATATCCTTCTCAGCCCTCACATCATAAAAGGGACGGGCTGCGACCAGGAACACGAGAGCTGATACTCATATAGAGAAGCACACGCAACACGGCCGCGATACCGACAACAGTACGTAGTCACTTCCTCACAGCATGTTGGTCATTGGAGCCGTTTCTCTTTCGTTGCATCCACACACCTTCGGCGCGAGTGCGCAATTACTACCTACATAGGGGTTTGCCCCGGTATTCCAGGCATTCTCTCGTTGTGCTCAATAGGTACTCTCTGTCACCTCCCTCCTTTATCTCATTCACTCGACATTTTTCCCTTGCGATGGTGGCCTCCAGTCAGCACTCAGCCAGGAGCGGGGGTTGGAGAACCTGAATCCCATTCTCATTGTGCAATACAATGCCTCCGATCCGGCATTGACTTCGTGTGTATCACCAGCAAAAAAGCCCTCCTGTCCGCGTCACTTCGCACATGTGGAAAGTACTCCACGAGCGCCGACTACCCCTTTTCCCTTGACCTCCTGTCCCCTAGTTTCAATGAACTCGTGGCCAATCCAAGCAGCACTTCTTTAGAGAGCCGAAGATCTAATTTGCCCTTCTTCTTCTCCCAACCTTGCATCTTCGCTGCATCAACCATATTGAGCCTTCAGGTTGCTAACTACGTGGCAGACTCAAAACGTTAGACCCCTTTTTGAGACAACGGCACTTCAGACACCTCACGCAGGCCGATCAGTCTCACTAACAAGGCATTGTAACGCTACCTAGGGCAGCAGCAGCAGCAGTGCCAGCAGCAGCAGTGCTGCCAACGGGGAAAAAGTCGTTAAGTATTGCTGTTTCCTTATGGACTTATGTCCGCCCTTGCACTGTTGTTTTCTGATTAGGTATGCGTGCTTGTGATTAACAATGATGTTATTAGCGCAAGAGAAAAAAGCGACCCCCCGGCGGCGGAGGAAACTCCGGCCAAAAAGGTATGTATTATATTATAATCCTGGTATTCCGCGCCATATGGCAATCGCTGACCTCTTAAAGCAAGGGCGGCGGTAAGTGCAATATTCCTGCAGGCTGGTATCGAGAGAGCCCGAACGATTAGCTCACCACACCTCATCTGATAGGAGTGCGAATACGAGATGCAGGCAAGACATCCAAGCAGTGATGCCGAACTTATGAACTACACCACTAATTTTTCTAGCGACTAAAAAATGAAAGAGATGTGAGTATCCCTACCTGCTGGCATTGTTATTTTGTGGCCAAGCTGGCTGAATCTCGCTACAGCATTGTATTAAGGAGGCCGCGGTAAGTCTTCCTATCCCAATACCTACAACGACACTTCACGGAGCCAGGATGCTGAACGTTGCTTCGCCATATAGAAGTGGAAAATGGCAGTTGCCGTAAGTTGCATTTAACTCTTAAGTAGCCGCAACGTTTAGTATATTTTGCTAACTAGTTAGGTATGTGTAGAACAAAACCTCTGAGGAGGAGGGCCGCCGCCGTAAGTCGCTCTCCTTCAAGCAAATGGCACGGCCGGATTTATTAATGACTCATGGCAGAAAATACAAAGCTGAGGTGATGGCGGGACGACTTTCCTTTTTTTGTTGGGACCGGGCGCGGCGGTGCAAGCAAGAGCTCAAATTATTAGAAGCAACCTTGACCCAACGTACCATTGGACATCAAAGACCCTCACCTGGTGGAGAAAAGCAGCCCGCAAAGTGTCGAGGTCAACCAACCCTTGTCGTAGGAATGGAACGAAAGGAACTGCCTTCATTCTTTCTTTTTTCTATTTCTATTGTTTTCCTTCTTTTTTCTTTGGTTTATCTTTTTTCTTCTTGTTTTCTCTTCATTTTCGTTTTACTGTTGTTTTCTTTACCTAGTTTTTTTCTTTTCCTTAGTTAATTCCGATTTTCTTTTCTTTTCTTTTGTTCTTTTCTTTTAACTATTTAGTTTTTTCTTTCCTTCATTTTACCTTTTCTTGTCATGATTCACTTTCGTTTCGATTTTGCTCCCTTTCATGTATTTTCACTGAAGTTCTTACATTTATCTTTTTACTCGGTTTCTTATCACCTGTTTCTTTGTTTCTTGATTCTTTGGCTCCAGTCCGTCACGCTGAGCAAAACGACGTCCTTACTAAGTAGGCAAAGGACACGGACACCGTATAGACCATATGACAGATTCCTTCAAGTTACGAGTTCGGCTTTTCCCTTTAGGCAACTGGTCGTGTCACGCTTGTCACAGACCACCATGAAGTACCGCGGCGGCACCCGCATGTTTGCGTCTATGCTGTATCATGATGTAGAGAACATTACGGTGTATTATGGTCATCTAAAGTTAGAGACTTAACCATCATGGTACTGTAGTGTGTGCTACCCCCCTTGTTTTGAAGAAATCGAGGGCAGGATGTAAAGCGAAGCCGGTCTAGTGGTTCATCCAACACAGAACAAGTGGTCACCGCTTGAGCATGTGCACGTGTGCCTGCTTCTGAGAGGGAGAAGGGTTAATCATTGTTACAGCTCCCCAATTGTGGGCTACGACGCTACCGATATGCTACATCTGGCCATGAAGTTATGATGACTTACGGAGACGCTTCGTGAGGTTACCCAGTATATATTGCCTGATGTAATTTCGCCGTCACCGCTTTGAGGATACCAGGGATTCAGTCCAAGGGCAAAATCAGTCCCAATAACAGGTAGATCTCCCTGATGAAGCTCGCATCCCAGGCTCGTTTTCCGCATCTGGAAAGCTCTGGATATCATGGCCAATCAGCACTCAACATTGGGCTTGGAGATTTTGAATCAGATTCAATGCCAGGTTGAGGCTGACTGAGCACCTATCGTCTTATCCAGGCAAGATTCTCACTTCAGTGCCATAAAAGGGTGCAAAAGAGCCCGACTTATGTGAGATCTTCTTTACGGAAGACGATGGTGGCATTGAAACCGGCAAGATGATCAACACACAGCACCTCATCATTGAGGCCACCTCCAACCCAACACTGCTCATCGGCAGTGTTGCGATCCTGGTAAGAACTCTCACCGTCAACCACCTGAAGTCCACAACCCCCCCAAATTACATCCATCAGCCCCCGAACTAACACTACCACCACCCCCCCACCAGCTCCTCACCTATCCCTTCCTCACCCTAACCTACAACCTCCTGCTCCACCCCCTCCGCCACATCCCCGGCCCCCTCCTCGACCGCGCGAGCCCGCTCCCCTGGGCGATCCGCCACGCCCTCGGCACCTCGGCCTTCCACACGGAGCGCCTGCACGTGCGGTACGGCGCCGTCGTGCGCATCGCCCCCAACCACCTCTCCTTCACGTCGCCGCGCGCCTGGCGCGACATCTACGGCTCGCTGCCGCGCGATGGGAGCTACACCAGCGTCTGGCCCGAGGTGTCCAAGAGCAAGACTTTCACGTCGGCGACGGATGATCAGGAGGAGTCCGTTATTCAGGCGGGCTTCCATGAGCATGCGCGTCTGCGGAGGGCGCTGGCGCCGGGGTTTACGGACGCGGCGTTGCGGGTGCAGGAGAGGGTGTTTAGGGGGTATGTGGAACGGTTGGTGGGGAAGATTGGGGAGAAGTGTGGTGGTGGTGGTGGTGGTGGAGAGAAAGGGGCGGTGATGGATGTGGAGAAGTGGTATAATTGGACGACGTTTGATATCGCGGGGGAATTGGTGTTTGGGAGTGCTTTTGGGTGTCTGGAGAAGGAGGAGTATCACCCGATGGATTGCGTTCCTGATGGGCACGCTGACGGCGGCGGCGGCGATGGTGTCGATTATTTATCTTGGGGGAAGGTGGTTGGTCAGAATTCTGTTCAAGACGGTTGGGCAGAAGTCGATCTTGGCTTTGCGGGAGATGACTGAGGAGATGGTTAGCCACCGGCTGGCGAATGGATGAAAGGGGTAGGGATGACCCTGTTTGGAGTTGTTCTCGTGAAGCATCGTGAGGAAATGGGGTATGTTTGTTGGGTTTGGGAGACAGACCTCCTCTCCTTATTTTACTCCACAGCAGAGGGCAGTTGCTAACCAACCTGTGACAGAACATCTCCTTCGAAAAGTTTTTAGCAACGGCCTGGTTCTCACCCTCGGCGGGTCCGAGACAATAGCCACCACGCTCTGTGGAGCAACCTACCTTCTCCTGGACAACCCGGAAACGATGAAGCGGCTCTCCCAGGAAGTACGTGGGTCATTTAACAACGCGGATGAAATCACTGTCAAGGCGCTATCTCAACTTCCCTATCTGACCGCGGCTATCAACGAGACTTTGCGCATGTACCCACCGGTGACCTCGGACTTGATTCGGGTGATTCCCCCGGAAGGGAAGAACATTGCTGGCCACTACGTTACCGGAGGTGTAAGTGCCCACTCAACCCCCAGCCCACAATATGCCCCTAACTTGAACAGACATACGTGGAGATCCAGCAATGGTCAATCAACCACAGCCCGGACAACTGGGTTGATCCCTGGACATTCAACCCTGACCGATTCCTTCTCGAGGACGACAAAGCAAGGGAGGCAGGCAATATTCTGGAAGCATCTCAACCCTTCAGCTGGGGGCCGAGGAATTGCCTCGGGCGCAAGTAAGTGGCCAGGTCCTGATTTGAAGTAACAAGTTAACAATCATAGCCTTGCATATGCGGAGCTACGTCTGATGCTCGCTCGCATCATCTTCGACTTTGACATGAAACTGGCGGGAGACAGCGGCGACTGGATCGGACGGCAAAAGACGTTCCCACTATGGGCGCGGGTGCCACTTAATGTGCACTTCACGCCTGTCAAACGGGGTTAGAAATGGTGTTGGGTATTTGTAGAAGCTTAACTAGATTCCGTCTCGCCTGTCGAATAACCTTTTAATTTATGATCCCTCAGCTCTCAACCATCCACGTCCGGTCTTGCCCCCTTACCATCCCACCCCGATGACTGGTACACACTCCTCACTCAAGCCGAGCAGAGATGGGCACAGTCCTCAACCTCCGACAAATCCCGGTACACGGTCGAGTACACGGTGCTAGTAATGGCGTCCTCCTCCGAGCCATCATCAGCACCACCCACCACGGGCGGGCTGGTCACGGTCGGCTCCGAAACATCCTCGGAACCCTCGGTGGGCTCAGGGTTGGCGGGGACCGAAGCAGAAGGGGCGCTGGGCTCGGCGCTGGGCATAACAACGACACTGGTGGCAGACTCCTCGGAGGACGGCGGCAGCAGAGAGCAGGTGGGGGACACGGTGACGGTGCTGGTGGCGGTCTCGGTGACGGTCACGGGGTGGCAAGACGACTCGTCCGGCGGCGTGATGGGGCCGGCACCGTGGCAATCGCCGTCACGGATGGAGAACTTAGGGGTTTGGGCGTGGATGACGAAGACGTTGGTGCCGTTGATGGCGTTGCTGGGGGTGGGTTTAGCCTGGGTACATGAAGAACAGGGATGACAAGTATTTGAACTTACAATTGGAAGCCCCACGAGGAGTTCACATCACAAGGGACAGTAACCTTGTGCTCGCCCTCGGAGGTCGGAACATCGGAAGCAACCTGGGTGTAAAAGGGGGGCCAGTCGACAAAGTTGACCAGGAAGATGCTGAACACGGTGGGATCAGTGTCGACACTGCTCCACTTCACGCTGTACGTCTCCCCCTTTTTGAGGGTCGAGTTGGCGAACGGCTCCTGAAACTGGATGGCCGAAACGAGGGGCGCCACGAGGGCAAAAAGTGACAAGACACGCATTTTTGTTATTGCGGTGGCGGCGGACAGATAAAAGAGTGACTGCTGCCAGACTCGCAGGAGGTAAGGACTGTACAAGTTGGATGACGAGAAACTGAAGATGTCGGGGACAAAAAACGGCTGGGCACTGGCGGGCACAAGCCTTCTTTTGTCAATACGAAGTCCCTTCCCAATGGGTCCCACTCCCCACAAAGCCAGTTCGTGATGCTCCACCCCTGAGTCGGGTTAATGCCTGTCAAAGCGGATGCCCCTGAAATAACACGAGGTCCCATAAAAATAATGGTTGTGGGCGGGAGTCATAGCTTCTTGTGGCGTTGCACGTATGGGTTGAAATGGAAGGAGGTGTGGTTTACCTGGATAGCACTGCCCGTAGTGATAACTCAGGATTAAAGACGCCGATCCCGTCAATCGATCTACACATCCCGATACGCGAGGCCGATCGTCCACTTGGTGTGGACGTGGTAGGGCATCTGGAGGGCATCAAGTGTGTTTGACAACGCTAGATAATGGTTAGCTCCAGTGGTTTTGTCAACCTCGTTTACCCATAGACGATGGGTAAGATATCATCACCGGGGGCCTCCGGACCCGTGCCAAACTGCCCGTGATAGTGGAGCGACGTATCAGAGGACGGTTGGTGTGTTTACGATAACTCATATTAGTTTCGTACTAGTCTCCCTATTATTAGCACGCTGGAAACCAATAATACCTGTTCAGTCGCCTTAGTTTTAACAATGTATCATCATTGCAGGTAGGTAAGTAGTCCTGTAGCTGAGTGATCAATACCCTCGCCATCCACCAATCCAATTTCTCGTGTTCCATTAGTCCGCTTGTCGAATTCACTCTTCTCCCTTTTTTGATCTCTTGCGATGCAAATTGTTACAGCAAGGCCGACGTGTAAAGCTGTTCAAGTCGAGCTCATATCACCAATGGTTGACTCCTAAGTATGGTTGTTCGACACACGGATTATTGCGGCTTGGGTGGGATAAATAACTATGCTAATAAAATGATAAAGTCGGCATACCTAGATCACGAGCTGACCAGGAGCCTGGCTCGATTCGAAGATCTTGTCATACCTACGTTCAGATCCTCGATGACGCTGCGTTACACAAGTGATAAGATAAATGAGACGCTATGCAACCGTTCGACCCCCTTTCGACGAGATGCTAACGATAGTTAAAGTCGAGGGTTACACCTGGTTCGGCCGGACAACAAGAATCCGGATGTCCGACGCCCAGCAGCTGCACGAAACTGCGGCTGACGGAAAGAAGAACCGGCGCATGAGCGCATGAGTACCCGGACATTCTCCCACAATTCAGGTTGAAAGTATTCGAATCCCTCTCCGAATCCTCGCATCACTTATCGCATCATTACAAACCAGACTCCAACCCCATCACCATCATCACCATGCGCCTCCACACGCTCCACGACCTTGACAAGACCGAAGGCACCGTGCAACTCCGCGCCGCCTCCCCCCCAGCCTCCACCACGGAGACCTCCCCACCACCCACCTTAACCTCGACCTCAACCTCGACCTCGACCTCGACCTTCCGGAAACCCTCATCCTTCCACCCTCCCCCCCTTCCCCACCGACCCCAACGACCCGCTCCGCTGGCCACGGCACAAGAAACACACGGCCTTCCTCTCCATCTGCGCCTTCACCTTCCTCACGAACTTCGGCATCGGCGGGCTGGCCCCGGCCTTCTACCTGCTGTCCCAAGAATTCGACAAGACGCTCGCGCAGACCAGCGACCTGCTGCTGTGGCCGATCCTGGTGCTGGGGGCCTTCAACTTCCTGTGGGTGCCGGTGGCCAACCACGCCGGCAAGCGGCCCGTGTTCGTCTTTTGCTCGGCGCTGCTGTGCGCGTGTTTTGTGTGGGGGGCGGTGGCCCGGTCGTTCGAGTCGCTGCTGTGGTCGAATGTGATCGCGGCGTTTGCGGGCGCGTCGACGGAGGCGCTGGGCGCGAGTATAGTGAATGATTTGTATTTTCTGCATGAGAGGGGGATGATGATGGGGTTGTATATGAACTTTATTTCGGGCGGGAATACACTGGGCCCGTTGGTGTGTGGGTTTGTGATCACCGGGTTGAGCTGGCGGTGGCATAAGTGGATTGCGGTGATCCTGACGGGGGTCAACTTCCTGACGGTGTTGTTGTTTGTGCCGGAGACGAGGTATTATCGAGATGGACCAGGAGATGGTGCTGGTCAGCCGGGGGAGGTGAGGTTGCCATCGGCGGAAACCGTTTCTGGCGATGGCGAGACGGGAAAAGAAAGTCGGGTGGACGGAGGAGGTAACAAGGAGGAGACCCACGCTGCTCCGACAACAGTACCCAAGAAGACTTGGATACAAGAGCTCAGCTTGTGGACAGGAACCGCGCCAAATACGAACCTCGCCAAAATGTTCGCCCGGCCGCTGCCCATGTTTGCCTATCCTTGTGTTATCTACGCGTTCCTCGGCTACGCCGTATCGCTCGTGCTGACGGTGTCGGTCAACATCCTCAACCCTTTCGTCCTACAAGCGCCTCCATACAACTGGTCACCGATGATCAACGGTCTGATCAACATACCCGGCTTTGTCGGGAATCTGATGGGCAGCTTTGCGGGGGGATTGTTGGTAGATGCGTTCTGCGACTGGAAGACCAGGCGCAACAAAGGGGTTTTTGAGCCGGAGAGCCGGCTGTACCTGTGTGCCCTCCCGCTGGTCGTCACCGGAGCAGGATGCCTCGTCTTCGGGTATGGGGTGGAGAGAATGCTACCTTGGATCAGCCTGTTCCTCGGGTACGGCATGATCTCGGTCGCTTTGACGGCGGTCCCAACCATCACCATGGCATACGTTTCTGACTGTTTGCTGCCCGTCAATTCGGATGCGTTGATGCTCGTCAATGGTGAGGATGTCTGTCCAAATACCTGCCACTAACACACATTAATGCTAATAATGCTGACCTTTAGGCCTCAAAAATGTCGTGGCTTTTGGCTTCCTCTACGGTATCGTGCCATGGGTCGAAAAGGTTGGCTACGCTGCGTGCTTCGGCACACAAGCCGGCATATTTGTCGCCATCATTCTTCTGGGCATGGTGTTTCTCATACCTTTTGGTGGGAAGATCCGACATATTCAAGCCCGGTGGCGTATTATTTTGTAAGAGGCGCGTAAGTGAGTGGTGGTCTGACAATGGAAGTGTCCTGGAATTTGAACCGTGGATTCCAGTCTCCAGGCTGCACAGAGGGTTGGCTGGGTGGCTTGGTAGGGCAAAATGTTTGACTGGAAAAGCGTGTATCGCATTAGCGGCATTCGGAATATCACCCTTCTAGCCAATTTTACACTTTTGCTTCATCTCTTTTCTGAGCCTGCCTGCCTGCCTGCAGCGGCTGTTGGTGCTTTCAACAATCATCCCAATCCAGCACGACTTCAGCTCGCCGACAATGCCAAGTCCCGCCGCCCGAAGTGGAGCGGCCCGGTCCATGCAAGGCTCATCGCGACAGTGGGGCCCTCGGAGTCATTCCAGGATTTCATCCAATGATACGCGCTTTCTTTTTCGCAAGGCTGTGACTGATGGAGGGGCAACATTTCGTCAACTAAATTTCCAGCCGCCAGGCACAGGCATCCTGATCTCCCCAACACACGCACTACACACACCTTCCACAAGTCAATCCACCAGACGATTACGCCGGATATTTGCACAAAGCTTGCAGATATTACCCCGATATCCGCTGAGAGCAATTTGAACTCGGTTCTGCCACTGCGGCCATTTGCGCGTGCTGCCTTGAATTCACCACGTCGAATTGCCTTCGCGCGACCGAGCCGCAATGGCGAGCGACAAGGGAGATGACGGCGCGGCGAAGCTCCAGATCCTCAAAGATGCTCTCTACGATGAGATGAGGCAACATGGATCCGAAGCTCGCCCATTTTCACAAAAAGACCTCAATGACCTCAACATCATCCCCAATAACGATGTCAACCTCCTTCTTAGCGTTGTCCAGCGGCTGTGCGATGACAAGCTCCTGGTCGGCATAGCAAACCACCATGCAGGGATGGCATGGAGGTGGCGTAGCAGGGAGGAAGCAAAGAAGTATGTCCTTGGACCCATCCCCAGGTGGCATAGACAGCACATTGACGAGTGCGAATAGGTACACATCATTACCGAACGACGAAGCAGTCATGGTGTACTCGATAATCGACGAGGCCGGCGCCGACGGCATATGGAACCGGACGATCAAGAACAAGCTCAACATGCACGAGGCAGTAGTGAAGAATTGCATCAAGTTCCTCGAGACAAAAGGCTACATTGCGAGTATGAAGAATGTCGAGCACCCGAATAAAAAGATGTACATCAAAGCCACCCTCCGGCCATCCGAACGAGCGACCGGTGGCCCCTGGTTTACGGAAGGTGAGCTGGACACAGCTTTCATCTCTGAACTCGAGGGCATCGTATTCGAATACATCAAGACCAAGAGCGCATACCGGGGATCACAACCAGTCCCAGGCGGGGCCGCCGCCTCCGCCGGAGCCACAAAAGCCCCTAAAAAGGGGGTTGTCACAGCAGGCGAGACCACCGCGCGCGGTACAAAACGTTCCGCCACCGAAATTTCCAACGACGACGCCCCAACCGCCACCGGCCGTGCAGCCAACGGCAGCACCGCCACGGGCACCAAATCTCGCGCCGTCTTCCTGCCCATGCCAGCCGGCTACAAACACTACCCGACCGTCGCCGAGATCGCCAAATTCATCCACGACACGGGCATCACCAACAACACGACCCTCGGCGAATCCGACATCCAGCAGCTGGTCGACGTGCTCAGCTACGACGGCCTGATCGAGCGGGTGCGCGTGGGCCGGCGGCGCGGCTACCGCGTGGCGCGCGCCCTCAAGCAGGACACCGTGCCTTTCCACAAGCGCCAGAAGGAGCGCGAGGCCGGCGTCGGCCTCGACCTACCCCTCGTCCCCGGTGCCGAGCCCCTCGCTAGCGGCCTGACCGAGGCCCCCTGCGGCCGCTGCCCCGTGTTTGACCTGTGCGAGGAGGGCGGGCCGGTCAGTCCAAGTAACTGTGTGTATTTCTTGCAGTGGTTGGATTTGGAGGATCCGCCGAAAGCGGCGGCGGCTAATGTGGCCCTCCCTTTCATGAGCGACGGCAGTGCTGTTTATTGGCGTGCGGCGTGATGTAATGGTCTAAGCATAGAGGTGGTGTTGGGTTTGGTAATGATATCACTTGTTTCATTTTTGACGTCCAATGTGTAGGTAGGGCTCTGGACTAGTAGCACGTTACTTGACGAATTTGCCAAGTTCACCGTGAGCAAAGGCAGGGCTGCAACTGGATGCATTGATTCCGGGTGCAAGAGAGCCCCGAGGCTGCGTGCAAGATCATCCTAATCGAGACTAGCTAATTATACGAGGTCTCGGGATCATCATCCCGGCTATGCCGCTCGTTCTCAAGCGTCAAGGGCACCACAGTCCTCGACGGTGGGCTTCTTCCAGCTCTTGCGCTTCTCGGCCTCCTCCCTGCTCAAGTTGTCTTCGACGGTAGCCTCCAGGCCTTTGACAACCTTCATGGACGCCTCATCAGAGACCTCGCCGAAGACGACGTGCTTGCCATCGAGCCAGCTAGTGACAACGGTGGTGATGAAGAACTGGGAGCCGTTGCTGCGAGAGAGGAATGAAAGTTAGCGTACTTTGCTTCGTTTCCACGCCCACAGATGCCGGGTATTCTTACGTGTTCGGGCCGGCGTTGGCCATAGAGAGCAATCCGGGGCGGTTGTGCCTCAATTGGAAGTTCTCATCCGCGAACTTCTCGCCGTAGATAGACTTGCCGCCGGTGCCCTGAGTCAAGTTAGCTCCACTTCCGAAATCATCGGCCATCATGGGAATGCTCACGTTGCCGCGGGTGAAGTCACCACCCTGAATCATGAAGTTCTTGATGATGCGGTGGAAAGTGGAGCCCTTGTAGCCGAAGCCGTTCTGGTGCGTGCAGAGCTCCTTGAAGTTCCGCGCCGTCTTCGGGACAACATCGTCGTAGAGAGTTAGGTTGATACGGCCTGTCTGCACTGTTGGGTACGTCAGCCAATGCGCCTAGTAGCACATTGTTGGTTCATCGAGCTGAAGCCACATGGTTTCCGAGCTACCGGAAAGGCCATTTTGTTGCCAATGGTTCATGTTCGCCCAGGTCATCAAGATACAAGAGTTATTCGGATAATGGAAAAGGGATAACTAGGCGAGGGGAGATGAAGCAGAGAGGAGGAACTTTGAAGCCGCCTACGTTTGACCTCCGCAGTGGGCTCGTCGGTCGCATCGAGGACGGGCCCTTCCCAGGAGACGTCAAAAAAGCTGGAGTGCGTAAGCAAAAGCCCCAGGCATCGGGGATAGAACGCTGTTACTCACACGTGAGATCGAGACTCAGACATGGCGGAAGATACGGAGAAGGCTCTGACAGAGATTCTGATGTTGGGTTGAAGAGATGGCTGGACTGAAGTGAATTGACCGGATGAAAGATTGCGAAGGAGGGAGGAAGGTCGGAGGGAAGAGCAATGGCGGGGTAGGAGGGGTCGAAACATTTTCCGCTGAGGGCAAGTGGGTTAGCATCAAGACCTGACCAACCAGGAATGGAAGCCGAAGTGTGGGACGATGAAGAGGACGGGTGAAGAAGCTCGTAGCCCACACGTGATATTCTGAGGGGTTGTCGCGCAAGATCGAATCGATCGGTGCTTCCAGCTCAGGCGTGGCAGGGCATCGTGGTGGGGGTTTCCATCCACTCTGCGGGGCTGCTGTGTAAGGGTATTGGGCAAGGGGAAGCTCTTGTGCCAAGGAGGTTGCAGCTCCCCACACCTAGCTATGCTGGCAGCTCTCTGATGTCGGCGCTTGCGAAGCGGGAAAAGGATAAAAGAGCCGTGCGTCCGAGCAGAGCACAGGCTTCTTTCAATTCCATAAATGAATGGGAAAAAACGATCTTGACATGGCGTTTTCGGATCAAGGCGGAACTTGGGCCCTGACATTCAATGGGTGGCGGCTCCTCTCTGGCCTTGCAGATGGGGTCCTTGCCACTTTACGCTCGGTTTAACTATAGGAAAGTCGGGAAAGGGATACCGGGGCGGTCGAGCTCGAGAATAACGGCTACTGACAAAAAGTGACTCGACGAGTGAGGAATGACATGCAAGAAAGGTGGCCTGAAGTCTAGGTGCAGTCATGTTTTGTGACGGGAGGTACCGAGCCGGAGAATGTGGCTCAGCAGAAGCTCCGAAGACGAACAGAAGAAAGTCCCAAGGCATAACAGACAAGAGAGAAAATACGTACGGCTATATGGGACCGAGTCCTCGGGTTCAGAAATAGTACAAGTTAAAAGTACACAAGCGAATTGAAAGGTGGCTGGCGGGATGATGGAAGAAGTTGGAGATGGTCATGGCCGAATTTTTTACTTGGTCCCAATGCGAGCTCAAACCTTGCTCCACCACAGCCCGGGCCGTTGGCTGAACATCCAATGCCTTGAACCTGAGGCATCCCGGCAATAGGAGGGTTCCACTCATACCGCGTGAAGGGGTCTTGGCAGCCTGGCGGAAATCGCAAGGTGTGGCCCCTTGTCAGCGCTGGTGCCCATCGAGCATCCTATCGCAAGTTTCACGAAACTATCAACGAACGAAGTCGTCGCCGCTTTGCCTAAAGCCGACACCACGCACCGCTATTCTTTCTTGCAAATTTTTGAGTCGCATCGTGTGTTTAGTTCGGGCTTCGGCCACGGTACCCTGCCCACCATGGACCTAAACAACATCAAGAAGCAGGTCTCGAACCTAACGCTGTACGACCTCAAGGCCGGCGTGCGGAAGATGCAAAATGGTAAGTTGGCTGCCTCAATGGCTATGCCTTGGTTTTTTGCTTGGTCATGCTGATTGACTTGTCCGCGTAGCCGTCATGAACTTCACAGAGATGGAGGCTAAGGTTGGCCACTGTGAACTTGGAGGTAACAGCGCCGTACCTTCAACTAACAATCGCTAGGTTCGCGAAGCAACGAACAATGAACCATGGGGCGCTTCGTCAACCCAGATGCAGGAAATTGCCGATGGCACCTTCAACTAGTATGTCCCTTATCGGGGTCCAATGCAGCGAGCTGCAGACTGATATTGTTCCTAGCCAAACCCTGAACGAGATCATGCCCATGATTTACCGGCGATTCACGGAAAAGTCGGCCGAAGAATGGCGGCAAATCTATAAGGCGTTGCAATTACTCGAGTACCTGATAAAACACGGCTCCGAACGTGTCATCGACGATGCCCGATCCCATATTACGCTTCTCAAGATGCTGCGCCAATTCCATTTCATTGATCAGAACGGCAAGGACCAAGGTGTTAACGTCCGGCACCGCGCCAAGGAACTGGCCGAACTTCTCGGCGACGTTGAACGCATTCGATCAGAGCGCAAGAAAGCACGCACAAACAAGGGCAAGTTCACCAGCATGCAGAGTGCTGGAGGATTTGGCAGCTCTAGTCGCTATGGTGGGTTCGGAAGCGACTCTGGTTACGGCGGCGGTAGTAGCAGCTCGACGTTCGGCGGATACTCTGGCGGCGTGTACGGCGACGGGGGTGGCTTCGGAGGCCAATCCGACGATTACCGCTCCACCCAGGGGCGTGGAGACAAGTTCGAGGAATACGATGAGTTTGACGAAGGAGAACGACCTGCTGCGTCGGCGAGCGCCGCTCGGGTGACGCGGGATACTATTGAGCGGGCGGGCGTGAAGCGAACCACGGAACAGCCAAAGAAGAAGGAACCCGAGGTGGACCTCTTCGACTTTGACGAACCTGCCGCTCCGACCGTGCCGGCTGTTTCTGCCCCTGCCCCTACCAACCCTTCCGGACTGGCGGCGCTTGATAGTGGTGCCACCGACGACGACGAATTTGATGATTTCCAGTCCGCATCGCCTCCCAAGCAGACAGCAGCTCTCCAGTTGCCTCTGGCCGCACCCAAGCCGGTATCTGCGCCTCAACAGGCGAATTTGAGCGGGATGGTCGCTTTGTCTTCTATCTCCCCACCCCCGAGCTCCACTGCCAGCCCGGCCGGCAACATGTCGGCTTTCTCTACCCCCCTCACTGCGAGTACGCTCTCCACGGCGGCGCAGGCGCCTAAGCCGACTGGATACCAGGCATCTGGACCCAATTACTTCTCCTCAGTGCAACCTGCCGCTCCATCTTCGCTCGGAGCCAAAACATCTGGTGGCGCTCCAACTACTAAGCCGGCCTCGGGGGGAGACGCTTTCGGTGCTTTGTGGTCTCAGGCAAGTGTTGGCATCAAGAAAAACACGCAAACCGGGCCGGGTCCGGCCATGGGACAACTTGCAAAGGAAAAAAGCAGTGCCGGGATCTGGGGTGCCCCTGCCTCGACAACCTCGAGCAACACTGGAGCGGGTAATAAGCCACTCGGTAATGGACTCGATGACCTTCTGGGTTAGCATGAAGAAATTTGTCAATTTTCGTGCTTGATGCAAACCTCGTATACGAGGTATTATCGAAATACCGGGTTGGGGGGGAGGGGGGCACTACTGTGGTGACGGGACTCATGGTTCAGGGTGGTTGACACTGCGATGTAATGTTTTGTGGAGTTTTCCACGGACAGGGAGGAGTAACGGCGCATAAAACTGAGAAACAGTTCATCCACATTTCATAACTGCCGATTTCTTGACTCGTGTAGTCGTTATTTGGGCTGCAACTGGCTGTGCCGCGCGTAAGGGGACGGGAGGACAGAGACTCGGGGAGGCATAACACCCTGCGGTTATAGAGTGTTTCCTTTTTTCCTTAGCTTCTTGAATGACGTCTTTCTAGCCCTTGTACCACAGTCCTTATTTGGCCTCGGACTTCTGGTGGTGAACCGGGATCTACTGGCCGTCGACCAGGACCGGCCTTGCACTTCGGCCCCCCATTTCCCCAGTTTCCCCGGCCCCGCTTGATCTCCGGCTTGCGGCCGCTCCCCAGACCGGGCCCGGCCCGCAACCCGAGACAACCTAGAAACAGCACAATGGTTGATCGAACACGACGACATACATTCTCAAACTATAGAGAAATTCACGATGTTACCCTTCAATGTTTTGCAGAACCATTTCGTTAACGCCATCCATCGCATCTGGTCTCATCGCCATGGCCGTTGGTATCGTCCCGCAGGTCACTGTGTCACATATCCATCGGAAATTCCTGTATTCGTAGTTTTGTGATTGTGTCTGATCTTCTTCCTCCCAGTTTGACTTTCATCAGTCATCGCCACCTACTGGCCTTTTCTCCCCAGCTCCCCCTTCCGCTTGATCACTTCTTTCTCTTCACAGCCAAAACACGTTCTAAACTTCTTCCTGAACACCAAACACAAATTATACCCACGTTCTTTTTTTTCTATTTCCATTTGCAGCATCGGCATACATCCGCCATGCAGCCAGCCGTGCGCGACACCCTTTCGTTACGTCCGCGGGGCTTCTACTCTTACGCCTTCCTCGCGACTCGCATTGCCCGTAAGTACATTCACAAATTTCCGGTGTTCTTTTAAAGCCTCATGGCACATGACACATCTCAGTGATTCCAGAGCATGGTTCCCGTAACTTCTTCCGTGTCTAACACCTTTTCGTCGCAGAGATCATATGTCTTGCCGTCATTACCGGCATCATAGGCCGTAAGTACAACTACAATCCTTCTTCCCCATTACCGTCCTTGGTTTGCCGCGGGCTTGTGTTGGAAACCTGGAAGAAATCTACAGGGTTGACATTAACGGTAATGCAGACTTCATCCACGTTGTCACCCGTGGTCGGCAACCCGCCCCCCTGAACCTGATCGTTGTCATTCTCTTCGTGAGTCCTTCCCCTCTTGTCCTTCAGGTGAAGTTATTGACGGGCGACGGCAGACAGCGGCAGCCTTGACATGGACCCTCTTCTCCTGGACCGGGTATAGTAGGCGGTACCTTGCTTACGCGGCGACCTGGGGCGTCGACCTCGTTTTTCTCATTCCTTTTGTGGCCCTCGCCATCATTCTCGGTCTGCCGATGGCGGATTCGAACTGCGCGGCCGTGGCGGCAAACGGAAAATTCGAAATTACCGCGCCGCCCGGGAGTTCTGTCGGGAGGGTGGCCTTCCCAGCGGATGGGCGAGCTTCTTGCCTCAAGTTATTTGTCGTCTGGGTCTTGCTGATCGCGGTTTCCGTTTTCTTTGCGCTGAGTGCATTGTCGGTGGGTTTTCTGCATCTCGGTGATAAGCAGTTGGAGAAGGCGATATTCGCTCTCAAGGAGGATCCGAGAGGAGGTGGAAGTTACTATGATCAGGGAATGAACGACTCCCGCGGGAGAGGATTTGCGCCGACACCAAGAGCGTACCCAGGCCCGGGAGAGGGCGGAGTTTACGGGTACAGCAACTCGCAACTCCGACCCAGTATTAGCGAGGATCGCCTCAATCTCAACCGGCCGGTTACAGTAGCCCCTCCGAGGGCGGGAAACAGGGCATTTGCGGGGGGTCCGATTTACGAAGAGCCACTAGGCCAGCCGGCAGCAGCCAGAATGCCTCGGATGCATCCGGATGAGGCATACGACTATTCTGGCAGTGGCCGTATGGGCTAGGGACTCGGGGTGCCCGGCCGAAAAGAGGGGGACAGGCCTCAAATGGCGGCGTCCGTAAATGGGCAGGGGACGCAAAATATGCAATCAGGTGGCGGCTGGAGAAAGCTCATGCCTTCGAACGAGTCCAGGAACGACACTTCTCCAGAAAGGCCAGCCGGCTTGGGGAATGTGACGATGTCCTCGTCGAGGCCAGCCGGTCTAGGAAATATGACCATGTCCTCAGCAAGGGGCCAGCCACAAGGGCCAAACATGCGTCCCAACATCGACAAAATCGCTTCAGCCAACGACGATGGCTTCATTCCTGATGCCTCGTTAGCTCCACAGCTCGCCTCTCTTGGCAAGGCACCCATAAGGAACAAGGCGGCTCCGATGAAGGGAGCTGCAGATAGGAACAATGGCCGACAGGAGGAGTTCGGTCAAGACGACCGGCAAGATTTCGGAGATGTGACTCCAACGGGTTTGAGTCCCCACGAATCATTGATCCCGAGACCATTAGCCGTGAGGGGAAACGGGACGTCGGCTAGGCAAAGGGTGCGTGAGAAGTCGGCGGAGAGCGGTTGGTGGGGAGCGCTTGACAGCGTCATCTCCAGACCGCAAGCGGAATACGACCCTTCTAATGTGTTGTAAAAGTAGAGAGAATAGTGGCTTGTTGGATATCGTTTGTGAAGAGATTGTCTACGGATAGATAGACATACGTGTTAGCGCTGTTCCCCCAACCAACATGGGAGTAACAAAAAAAAAAAAAAAAAAAAAAAAAAACAGTTTTAGCTTGATACCTTCCACTCCATTCTCCCGCATGAGGACTTGTTGCCTTGTTGCGCGAATAGGCATATAAACTCGACCACTTTAGCTCATAGCAACAAAGCCGGTTGTTGCAAGCTCCTGAGGGAAGCCGAGAGGTCCCAGTGGTCCGGGTTCTCGTCAATGTCGGCGCGGCGCTCCCAGACCCTTTCCATAATGGCAAGGCCTTCCCGGATGGTCCCAAGCACCTTCAACGGCCCCATACTCGCTACCAAGTCTCGAAAGGTTTGCTCTTGACATGGGCCCGCCAAACAGCCGGTGATGGTGAAGGGCCACACGAGCGTCCGAAGGCAGTCTGGGCTTGGAAGGCTCAGAAACATTTCAATAGTTTCTGCGACGGAGCCTCGGATCTCCGCGCTGGATGGTTGCCATCCTGAGAGAACAACGCTGAGGTATGTGATGGCTGCTTGGGCCCAGATTCGGGAGTTCATGGCGACATCGTGCATCATGTGGGGGGAAAAGCTGCCAGCAAAATATTGTAGCAGATGTTGGGGCCCATCGACCGACGGGCCGTCGTGGTTGATAGCAACTCCAAGCGTCTCAAGTGACGCTCGAAGCCGCTGTTCTATTGCTGAGGCGCGGGTGACGAGTTGGGCGACGGACAGGGACCCCGAGCGCTTCATCTCCTTCTTCCATGAGTCGAGAGCGGCTATCTCCCCAATGGAGATAATGATCCAATTTTCCACCCCGACAAAGTCCCGAAGGTTGATATGGGGCAAGGTTTGCTCCTTCTCAAGTTTTGGCATGTGCTTCAAAGCTTCGTCGTCAAGAGGCATCATTAAACTGTAATGCCATTGTTGGAGCTTTGGGGGCTGTTGCAACGCGGTGCTCGCGAGGGTATCGAGGAAGAGAAGTTGAGCAGTGAAAAAGCGTAGTATGGCTTGGTCCGACCCCCATGGGTGGTTCTTGGGGGTCCAGGTAAAAGGCCTCGAGCCCAGTTGGAGAAGCACCATCATGAAGCAGGCATGACCCTCCTCTGTCATTGCGTGGTGTTTCATGATCTCATTGAAGAGTTCTGTTGCAGCACCCAGATGCATTTCCCAGTTCCCCGGCTTCGCAGTGGCAATGTCGCATGTCATGAGTTGAATGATGCTTGCCATCACACGATTGGCCTCGGCAAGATTGCCCTTCACTCCGCGGGTAACGATGTCTTGCATTTCGCGCTGCAACCACCTGAGGGCTAACCCTTGCTGTTCTTGGAGCGCTTCCAAGTTGTGAGAGTGGCATTCTGAAGGTGCATATTGCATCTGGCCGATCACGATGCCATAGAAGTAGCCCGCGAGGCTGAGGGCAGAGTGGAACAGGGTGTTGTTCTTATTCAGAAGAACGAGAAGCCAGCCCCGCCCAATATCGGAAAATGAAGGCCGATAGTAGGGGAACAAGAAGGGGAAGACATAATCCAGATACATCATGGTTGAGTGGGCTTCTGCTTCTCGTGACAATCTCGCGCGATGTTGCTTGCAGGCTGGGGTGAAATCGTCCGCATGCTCATCTGGAGATGGAGCCGAGGTTGGGGAATCCGTTAATGCGCTATCCGACCCAGAATTTGGCGTGGATTTCTCGGCCACGGAGCGCGAGGTCGAGGAAGTGGCGGCACTGGAGGATAGCGGGGCGGCATTGATGAGGTCCTTAGCGACCGCCCTGTTGCTGTCGTCTGTAAGGGAGGCATCGAGGGACTCGAGTCTGACATCGAGACCTTGTAGATAGCGGCGCTCTCGCCGATGGGCGGCCCTTCGTTTGACCTCCTTCTTGAGCCAGTCGGCTTTCCGCTTCTGCTTTTCGGCGCCATCCATCCATTCCGGCTTGTCGTCGCTGTAGAGGCAATCGATCTCGAGGGCGAGACATCCCTTGCAAATTGGTCGTTCGTCATCACATTTCTTGCGCCGAAGCCGGCACGTCCAGCAGCCGCCAGATGCCCTCGATGTTGCCGCCATGATGACGTTTCCAGTTGTGAAAATGCTTTGCTCCCTCAGAAGATGAACAGCAAATGAACCAAGCGGTCGAATTTAGCTTTGGGGTGCCCAGGGGTGCGCTGAATGAGAGCTGGGATGACCCCAGTGGCGCTCGATTTGTCAGCGGGATAAACCGCCCCAAATCAGGCCAGCTGCAAGCTAAACTCCCATGTTGTTCGGTGGGTGGAGGGGAAAAATAACCACAAGGGCGGGCGATAAAAGAGATGCAAAATAACCGCGGCAGAGAATGGCAAATTATGATCTGGAGGGCATTGGCCGGGCTCTACAGACATGCCGTCAAATCAGCAGCAAAGTGAACTGGTCGCCTGCTCAGTAAAAGACATCGAAGCTTTACAATTGTACAGTGAAGCATTGCACGCAAATATGCGCCTCTTCAGGCTTTCGCCTGAGTAGCCCGGTAAGCCCATAACTCTTGTGGCTGGCCAGCAGCATCGCACGAGGCAAACTTCCACCATGCAGAGCGCCAGGCCCCGACAAGGTTGATCAAACCCCACCGGATGGGTGCGGGCATCGGTGGCCAGTTCGCCCACATGCCGTTTTCGACGGTGCGGTCGAGGTTGAGCAGGAAGAAAGGCACCACGTCAGTGACGCCTGCCTTGGTAACAGTGCTCTTCCCCCAGGCCTTGAAAGTGGCTGATGCCGCATCATTCTCCGGTGTCCCATGTTTCGGTGCGTTCGGATGGTCGGCGAAGTTGGAAATGGTCGCGATTTCGCTGTGGAAGTGTTGCTCGAAGGGTTGTTGGAAAGACTGCATGATGCGCAGGAGCTCATCGCCCGAGAAATCGGAAGGGGTTTTGAGGCCAGCGAGGTACTTCTCAAAGTCGGCGAGGCCAGGGAGGAATGACTCTGCCATTTGTTTGGATTGTTAGTGGGCTGCAAGCAGTTTTGGGCGGTTCTTTGCAGAAGCTAACCATGCTCCTTGTGCGTCTCCTCGAATACCGTCTTGTCCTGGAGGAGCTCCTCGATCTTGGTGAACAATGTCGCCTCCTCATCATCGTGATGGGATTTCACGAACTTGAACCAGGTTAGACAGTAACCGACAAAATCGGCTTTATCCTTGTCGGCGACAAGCGGGGCTTGGTGGTAGATGGAATTGTAACCGCGGAAAATGGAATTGTCTACACTGTCATGTCAGTTTACGGGCCCGGATGGTTTGGGCGTGGTCCGCCAGCAAGATGGATTGAGTGCACTTACGCAGCAAAGCCATATGTGTGGCTCCAGATGTGAAGATATCGGTCTATGGGAAGTCAACATTAGCCCGCGAGCGAGCAGGAAACGTCTGCGTGTTGCGCTTCACCTTTCCAATCAGTGATTTGGGGGTAGCGATCAGGGTCAGCGGCCTATCAGCCCACGGTTTCGATGGGGCAACTGAAGTCATCATGAACGGTGCGCGGGTGAGCAAAAATCCCAAAATAATCAACGGGATGGAGAGAATAGTTCTCGTCTGGAAGCTTCCCATTGCGGCTCAAAAAATGGACGGCAGGAGACTGCGCAAGTTCGCAATCACCTATCGTATGATGCAAGAGCACACTGTCCGTGGCATCCAGCTCTTATCCGAGCTCAGGCTTGGAGAGATGCAAGTGGGGCCGGTCGCGCCTGCCGCTGATCAAACACCAAGATATGATTGGTCTGTGAGCCTGCCAAATCCACTTAGGCCAGGCACGGAAGTGGTCCCGGTGGTGGGTGCATCACCGGGACAGCCCGACATTCTTCTCTCCACACCACAACCGACGGGAGACTCCTTGAAGGGGAAAGTTTCCTAGGTACCCAACCTCGCCAACCCCCTGATTAGGTCCATCCAACATCATGCTCCCATGACGATGTTATTTACTCGGTGCTTACCGATACAATTGTATGTCATTGGTAAGAAACCCGTTCCATGAAAGCAACAAACAGTCCTCCGACGAAGCTCTTGGCTTGGCATGATATTGGCAATGGGGACGCCATCCGGAACGGGAAGGCCGGCAATCCCCGGCGCCCTGCCGACCACACGCGGGGTTAAACGGTTGCCGGGTGACTCTGTCGGCATACGGGCTTCGGAAGGCATTTCTACCAAACTCGTTCGAACCATCGGCTGGAACTCCCGTCCCGTCAAACAACCAGGAAGTTTCCCAAACACGCAGCAATGATCACTCGTCCCAATATCCGGATCCGCGAGGCCACACCGGCTGATGTTGATACCATAGTCGATGTTTACTTTGCGGCGTTTGACGACAATGTCATGAACCAGCTCATGTACCCCCGCGGGGTTTCCGCCGATGCAAGAAAGAAGTTTGGCGCCAAGTTTCTTTCACAGCCCACTTCTAAAGATGCCGGGCAGAACACCACGGCAAAGGGGCAGAACTTCGTCTACGTTGCCACTGACACCTCAGGGGAAATAGTCGCCTTTGCAAAGTGGCTACTTCAGCGTGAACCCCGCCCGGAGGAGGAATGGAAAAAAGAGGACTTCACTGCCACAACCGAGGGATGGGGTGAGGGCTGCGATCTTGGCGTCGTGGATCGCTTCATTGGGTTGATGAACAGGGCCCAAAGCGAGCATGCAAAAGGCGAAGCAGCCCTGTGTAAGTGCCTTGCACCTGCAGTTAGTGCGACAACTTTTTGTTGACGTGGGCTCCAGATCTCAGCATTCTTGGTTGCAATCCCACCAGGCAACGTTCAGGGGCTGGATCTGCCCTGTTAGAGTGGGGCGTCAACCTTGCCGACAGCCTTGGGCTCCCTTGCCGGCTCGAGGCGTCCCCGGTTGGCTACGGTCTTTACAGGAAGTTCGGCTTCGAGGATGTTGGAGTGGTAGACGTTAATATCAGCGAGAACTGGGGCGTAACAAACACGAACGGGGACAACTGGGGGGCAAACAACGCGATCCTTTTGGCCGGTCCACTGGCTGACGGGGCTCAGCGCACCGTGATCATGAGGCGGCCTTGCAAGCAGGCCAGGGTCTAGGCCGCTAGTAGACCGCAATAGACCGTTTACACAGGCCGCATGAGCCACCCATGAAGACTTAAATCTGGCTGTCTCCTACAATGACTCAGCTGTTTCCCATTTCTGCCCGACCGTTACACCAGAGGGCGGTTACCTGCAGCCAGATTAACCGCGATCTCATTGGCAACCGAGCCGCCGGCCCCTTGCAACCCATCACAATGCGGAGTTACCTGGCTGCCTCCCAAATCCCAAAGGCAGCAACACGACTGTATCACCAAACGCCGGAGGAGGGCCGATTCTCCTCTTCTACTCTCGTCGCAACTAGTCCGAGCGCGTCCTCCGAAACTGGTTGCGAGTGCTCTTGCAAGATGGACCCCGTCAGCGCCGCGGCTAACATTATTCAAATAATAAACGCCGCGAATAAGGTGATCAGCCTCTGCAAACGGTTCCTTGAGGTGGTGCGGGATGCCCCTGGTGATCTCCGCCTCATCCTCATCGAAGTCTCGACTCTAAGAGCCATCCTAGACGACTTACATTTCCTCGTGTCGTGTAATCACGCCCCATCAACGCTAGACACCCTCGCCCGCCACCATGGGGCCGCTTGACGGGTGCCGAAAAGTCATTGCGGAACTGGAAGATATCCTGCCGCCAGAGACTATGCTCGCCACTGAGTCTAAAAGGAAGGCCATCTTGACGGCCCTGTCCTGGCTCACGAAAGAATCCCGCGCTAGGACGCTCCTTGACGAGCTAGCGCATTACAAGAGCACCATCTCGTTGGCGCTTACTACCGATTCCTCGTAAGTAACGTCTTGGAGGAAGCATGTGAACGAACAGCACTAAGACGGGATGTGCCCCTCACTCCAGGCTAGATATCAAAGACACCAAAGCCAACACCGAGAGGATCTACGCTGCGCTCACTGGTAAGCTGGAGAGGCAGAGGAACCCACTTGTGCCCCTTTGCTGACGTGGTTTGTAAAGATGTACAACAACAACATGTTTATAACTGGCTGCACGCAACCGACCCGTCCGCTCTACACGAGAAGTCCTGCGGCACATACGAACCAGGCACGGGCGAATGGCTGTTCCGGTCGCCCGAGTGGGAGTCGTGGCTTGAGGAGAAGACGCGTTGCCTTTGGGTTCATGGAATCCCTGGCGCAGGCAAAACCATCTTTGCGTCTCACCTCATTGAGACCCTCAAATGGCACCATAAGCTCAGCTCACCAACCTATGCCTTGGCCTACTACTACTGCTATTTTGGCCATGGCCAAGATGAGACAGTGCCGTTCCTGAGATGGACCCTTCTCGAACTTTGTCGGAGACTTGGTCGAGTCCCGACGGCCGTGTATGACTTGTACCGTCACGGCGGTAACCCCACGGCCCACAGTTTGCTCCAAACATTGGAAAAGGTTGTTGAGGCGTTCGACAAAGTCTTCATAGTTGTTGACGCTGTGGACGAGAGCCTGCACCGCGAAAACCTACTTCGAGTCTTACAGAATCTGGCCACCGATACACGTTTCAATAACATCCGCATTCTAGTCACAAGCCGGGAGTACATCGACATCGAGGAAGTCATGCTGGACGTTGCAACACCGATCTCCATGCGGAACTACCTGCTTGACGAGGACATTGCTCTCTACGTGAGAGCCAAGCTTGATGGTCATTCCAGGCTCAGGCGTTGGCCACCACATTTCCGGGACCAGGTTTTCGAAGCACTCACGACGAAAGCGAATGGGATGTGGGTAACCCCTGCTTGCCCACTCATGCCTGGCTTATAACCGAACAAACCGTACTAATCATCCCATTGCCTACCTAGGTTCCGCTGGGTTGTGTGCCAAATTGATGCAATACAACGCCTTAAGCCAGAAACTCGCATCATCAACACGGCGTTGGCCAACTTGCCAAAGGACTTGGACGAAACATACGAGCGTGTTTTCCTGCAGATCCCCGAGGACGCTCGGGTATTTGTCAAGCATGTGCTTCAATGGATGTGCACGCATTTAACGATTCATAAATCAATCGCCGAGGTGCAGCCTATCACGACAGTCAGCCTTTGTCCGGTATACGTCCCCAACGGAGAAGATATCCCATGCGATGTGCTCTTCGCGGCCGTTCAGAGGAGCCTTGCTGAAGACGATTCATGCGATCCCATGTTCCTTGATGGCTACGTATTGGACGAGGAACTTCTTCGCGAGTACTGTGGTTGCTTGGTGACGCTGAACACCGACACAATACGGGACAGATCAGCAACCGGGGATAACACCATCGTCTCATTCGCGCACTACACCGTCCTGGAATTCTTGGAATCGCCTCGAATGCGCCGTGGCCCCGCCGCCTCCTTCGCCCTGGACCGGGAACAAGTTCTTATCGACCACAGCAAAATCTTGCTTCTTGGAGCCGCTAGCACGTCTGACCGGTGGAGCGAGGACTGGCCTGAGATACGGGGACCTGACTACTATTTTGATTTTGAACGATATTGCGCTCATTCGGCGGTGTTGTTCTTGCATTGGCACGCTAGGATGGCCAACTCTTGGAAAGATTTTAGCTGGGTAACTCCCGCCGCGCAGCTATTGGAAGCGTCAGCACCGCCATCCCTGGGAAGCTATTTCTGGTTCACCCAAGACATTCTCGCCGCGTTGGAAAACCCAATAACACCATCGATCAGCGCGTTTCGCCAAATCCACAAACTCAGATCCCTCTCGCCCCCAACCGAATCTCATCTCGAGACCCTCGCCCGTATGTTTCAAATTGACGGGACAGGTTATCTGGCTCGTTCCCTGCTCGCCAGCCTTGGAAGGACAGGTAGCGATCTTGCTTGCCAGCTCGACGTTGAGTTTCAACCCGGTGCGTTTTACACGGAACTCAACAAGCCTTCATATTCTTGGACTGCCCAAGAGGAGCAGGAAATCAACTCTCTTAGTAACCAAGTCCTTCGTTTTCGGGGTTCTGTCATTGAGTTTTATGCGCAGTTACCGAATCTCGGTTGGACACACCAGGGCCTTTATGAAATCCTTGATTTCGCTGCGGGCCACTTCGATCCCTCAACGATTCTGCTGTATGTTACTGCGAAGCACCAGCACGTCGAAAACACGTCGGGGTTTACGTGTTGGGGCTGCTTGTCCATAACAAAGTTGCTACGGCTTGGTGCCAGAGCGACGGCCCCTGGATACGCTATTGGGGCACTACAGTTTGCAGTCGCAAAGGTCGATATTCCAGCAGTGAGGCTGTTTCTTGACGCTGGCCTTGACCCAAACGACACGGGGGATGCATGTGGCGAGATTGGAAGCGCCGAACGAGGCCCCCTCTTCAAGTACCTCCGATTATTTCGCGGCAGAAGTCCTTTAAACATTGCTAAACAGCAAGGGACCAAGCAATTACCGACCATAAATATGCGTATTCAGGAGATTTGGTACGAGACCCGCCACCCGAACAAGGAGACGGCTGGAGCAGTTGCGGCGCTTCTGATTCAGTATGGGGCGAAAGATTTTACTTCTTCCCCCGATAATGACTTCTCGTTTGCTGCGGGGATGGGTGCGTTGAGCATTACAGAGGATGAAGGCACGAATATGATGCCTCAGGGCGGACTGGGGGCTATTTCAATCTCGTCGTGATGAGAGCAGCATCCTGTTTTTCACACACAAAACTTGGAAAGTAGGAAGATATTACAGGATACAAATTCAAGAAGTCACCGCGCAATGCTACTTGATATTAATGCGCATGTACTACTGGCCTGGTGCTGCTTCGGGATTATCTTCCGGGGTACCTGGTGTCTTGATGGGTTTGGGATACGACCAACATCGTACCGAACCTGAAACAACCGATTCTATGCCCAAGCAGGCGGCCCGTTCTGGATGCGGCGAGTTAATATGGGTTCGTTTGAAGACGGGCGCCGGTTTACGCTGAGGAATTGCCCCATTCGGAAACAGCTTGGCACTACAAACCCCTGAATCCCATGAATGGCTTCTCCGCATTCCCCGCCGGTGTATTAGGGGGTAATAGTTTCGGGTGCACGGCTAATCGGCCCAGCCCGCTAAGTCGGATATAGTTTGCGGCTCTTCCGCCTCCGAGAATGACACCTTTCTTGAAGACCCCGGCTCGTGATGCTTCATCAATAGTCCACATCTCAGTTGAGGTTTGGGGTACTCCTATTAACTAACTATTCTTTTTCTGGCATTCTTTTTCCGAATTTCTGTAAACACCAAACACGGAATTAACATAGGTGTTCAACATGGCAGTCGTTATTGCTCCTAGCATGGGTTCGACCAAAGACAGCACGGGGGCTTTGCCCAAGCGGAGGCTCACAAAGGAGGAGTTGACCAAAACACACAGTGTACACCTCAAGAAGCAGGACAACTCGCCACACGCGCCGAGGCCAGTGAAGCAACCAGTCATGTCGGACGCGTACCCGGCATCATCTAAGTCTATCAGAGAGCTTGAGATTGTAAATCGACCACTTCTATGTTGCTGACCGAGAATTGTACTGACTCCAAAATCAGATCCCATTAAGTGAGCTACGTGCGGGGGCACATCATCGGGGTAAAGGGCTCATCGTCAAGGCCATCAGCGCCCCGTTTGTGGGTGCTGGTGCGGTGAGCATTGTGGAGGACGAGGCCGGGAACGCCGACAAGTTGGCCATCTACAACCAAGCCGACTCATCAATCCTATCTGGCGTACCAGAGGGGTGTGTGGTTGCGATCAAGGAACCGTACTACAAAAACAACGGCGTCCAGGACGACTTCATGATCTGCGTGGACCACCCCTCGGACGTCATCCTCCTGCGGTTCACCGACCTAATCATCCCGGAATCCCTGAGACTGGGCCCTCTCCTCAAGACAGCCGAGGACTGGAGGAACGCTGCCGACCGTGCCTTTATCGAGAAGGACTTCCCCACCTCCGTGTTCTGGTGAGCACCCCCTAAACCAACACCACCAATCCTCCCTAACTAACACCCCTCCCAGCTACACGGAAGCCCTCGAAGTCTCCTCGGACCCCGCCTTCCAAGCCCCCATTCACACCAAACGCTCCGGCGTGAACCTCATCCTCGGGCGCTACGACGCCGCCAAAGCCGACGCGCTCGCCTCGCGCACGGGCGGCCCCCACGACTGGAAAGCCTACTACAACGCCGGGCGCGCCGCCTACGGGCTCTGCGACTACACCACCAGCCACGAGCTCCTCACCAAGGCCCTCGACCTCAACCCGACGCACGCCGGCATCCAAAAAGAACACGCCCGCTGCACGGCGCGCCTCCACGAGGAAGCCACGGGCGCCTACGACTTCGCCGCCATGCAGGCCTCCCTGTCGCCGCAATCCGTGCACCTCGACCGCGGCTCTTTCCTCGCCAACACGCGCGTGGGCGATTCGGCGCGGCACGGGCGGGGGTTGTTCGCCACGCGGGCGCTGCGCGCGGGCGACCTGGTCTTTGCCGAGAAGGCCACGCTCATGCCGAACCAGTACGAGCCGGCGCGGGCGTCGGCGGCGCTGTACGCGCTGATGGTGCGGCAGCTGTGTGATAACCCGTCGTTGGCGGGGCCGGTGTTGCGGTTGTTTGATGGGGGGTATGAGAGGGGCGGTGGGGTGGGGGAGATGGTGGATGGGGTGCCGGTGGTGGATGTGTTTCTGGTGGAGGCGATCCGCACGCGGAACTGCTTCAGTGCGCCGCGGTCGACGTGGGAGGATACCCGCCCGAGCGCGCCCGAGGGCAGGCAGTGCAAGGGCCTGTGGGTGCATGCGAGCTATATGAACCATGACTGCGTGGCTAATACCATGCGGTCGTTTGTGGGCGATATGCTGGTCAGCAGGGCGACGAGGGATATTGAGGAGGGGGAGGAGCTGTTCCAGCAGTATGTCCCTGTCAAGCCGCTACCGGATGTGCGGAACAGGCAGTTCAAGGAGGGGTGGGGGTTTGAGTGTGGGTGCACGCTGTGCACGGCGGAAGCGCGTAGTCCGGAGGCTATGCAAGCCAGGAGGAAGGAGTTATTGATCGCGGTGGAGAAGCTGTGCAGCAAGAAGATGCCGGGCCGGGAGCTGATCCCAGATGCGAAGATCCGGAGCGTGGACAAGTTGACGAAACAACTGGAGGAGGCGCACGAGAAGGAGGTGTATGAGGGTGTGCCGCGGCTGACGCTGGTGTACCCGAGCAATTGGCTGGTGGCGGCCCACCGGGGGAGGAAGAACCATGGTAAAGTGGTCAAGTATGCCATGAAGGTGTTGCGGAACTTTGGATTCAAGGTGCCGGACGAGAGCGAAGTCTGGGATCCGAGGGACATCTTTACCAAGTCCGGTAACGGAACTCTCATGACGGTCCATATCGTGGCTACTCTCAGAACGCTGGCGGAGGCATACGGGGCGTTGGGACACAGGGAGATGGTGGAACGGTGTATTGAGGCGGCCAAGTTCGGGTACCAGTTAGTTACGGGCTCAGAGAACGATCTGGCAACGTTGGATAAGTGAACGAGGAAAGTGAACGAGGAATTGGGGTTAGTCAGGGGGACGCACAGTGGCGTTTGTCTTAGTAATATTGGCATGATTTAAGGTAACTAGCAACAAGGACACATGAAGGGGTACCGGGTACGTGAATTCAGAGATTCTTTGCACAAATTCAAGAGGAAACCGAGGGTATCCTATCCTAAGCTTTAAACGTAATCCTGACGGTATTATACGTTACCTAGCCAGGTCCAGCCCGGCACAACAAAAGGTGTACGAGCTAGTGAGCAACTAGTGTACAGAACTAACACGAAGCCCCGTCTCTCATCAACGGTAGCCGGAGGGAGCGGCATTGACAACATTGACAATTCTGCCATCGCTGGTCCGAGTTGTGGTCACGCGGTTAAGACCTCCCCTCCCGCCTCCGCCACCACCACGGCCACCACCACCACCACCACGGCCACCACCACCACCACCTCCGCCACGACCGCCGCCGCCGCCGCCACGGCCACCACCACCACCACCTCCGCCACGGCCGCCGCCACCACCACCACCACCACGGGTACTAGTGGTTTGTCTCCGGGTCGGCGCCGACATGGTGGACGAGCCCGAATTATCATGGAGCCTGTACTCGTAGGCATTGATGGCGCGCTCCGACAGCTCGTTGCCGCCGTAGCGCTCGACGCACTGGTTGAGGTAGTTGACGAAGCGGGTACCGTGGCAAGTGCGCGGCAGGTTCTTGATGCAGCCGGCCAGCTCCGAGATGAGCTCCTTGGCCGTGGGGTGGTCCTTGCGAGACGCGGCACCCCTGAAGTCGTAGCGGCGCGCGCTGACGTGCAACGTGACGGCTAGGAGCACGCGGTGGATGGCTGACTGCGCCGAGGCCACACCACCTTGCCGGCGGAGCTCGACCGTGCCGATACGCGTGTACGGGAGGAAGTTTTGCGAGAGATAACGCTCCTTGCGGTACTTGTGGTTGGGGTCGCTCAAGTGCCCGCCGGCGATCTTGATGCAGAAGCACTTCTTCTGGCCCTGTCTGTGGTTTTCGAACCGGTCCATCTCATTATCGATAGCATTGAAGAGAGGTTTCCAGCTGTCGTCTTTAACATGCCTGTACATCGAGGTCCCGAAGGCCTTGTGGTTGGGCTTGGCGTAGTGATTCTCCCGACGGTCGTGCGGCAGGATCTGCTTGAGGGCCTTCTCCCAGAAGAAGGCGGCCTTTGCAATCCTGACGAGCTGATCCGGCCTGTACTTGGTGCTGGACGTGGGCCCGGGCGAGACGTGGACGTGGCACGAGGTGACGGGGTGCGTCCACAGCTCAAACTGCTCACCGATAGCGTCAAATACCTCGCGGATCTCACTTTGCCATCTCCTGGCCACCGACATGGGCGGAGAGATGATCTCGACACCCCCTGCTAACCGTTAACCCGTGGCGGCGGGGACAAGGGGAGGAAGACTTACACCAAAGATCCGGTTCCGGGGCTTCCCTCATCTTCCACTCTGACAGACTAGCGTCGCCTACGCACTTCCAACCATTACTTCCCAAGGACTCCTTGATGAGAGCCGAGAGAGCCGTCTTTACGCAGATGCGCTGCTTTCCCGTCTTGTAATTGTCTGTACTGCGGTTGGAGAGATTAAAGTCCCACTCTCGCCAATGAAGGGGTAGGGATCCTCGGTATCGCTCGACATCCCTTTGGACGTCCCGTTTAACCTTGACGAAGATCTCGATTTCAACACCGAAGATGGGTTTGGGGGGAGGGTTGGGCATGTTGGCGAGTGGTCAACTTGTTAAAGAGGGAGAGTACTGAGAAAGGAGAGCAAGGGGTACCTGAAGGGCGAACAATTTGAAAGTGCCTCCAACGACCAGTGTCGAGGCAGAAAGAAACTAGGGGGTAATGCAATGGTATAAAAACTATAAATGGGGTGAGTGTACTTTACTGAATGTCGTATGTCGCTGACTCTGAATGAACTCTGGATGCATAGAAGGGAAGGAAGTCTTACTTTATACTGCCCTTCTCTTTTACACTGCACCCATATCTTGTCTAATGTCTGGGCTAACCCGGGCTCACAATCGGAACTTTAGCTATGCTAGCCTTCTACTAAAGGCCAAAAAGCTGAGACCGGGTTGCTAGCAGCGGCTATGGTCATATCCCTAAACACGTTCCTTACAATTTGCCGATAGCGACCAACCGAGCTTACATGATGTCGCAGGTTCTATACACTATAGGCAAGCGTGATACTTACTCCTCTTGGCATCCTATGATCTACCTAAGGTGCCACCAGGGTGCAAATAGATTAAAGATGTGATGATTACACTTTGCTCTAGCGGGTCAAGCGGACCATGGCCAGTGGGGGCAGACCAAACCCCAAGCGGTCTCCATCGAGCTTACTTGGCCCCAGACAATTGGTGGTGGTCGTTGCAAAATAAACCTCAAAACTACCCGTGTTACATGGCTAAATCCCACGGGCCGCGGGGAGGCTCTCAGCCTACGGCACGGGGGGGTTGCGTGATCGAAAGTTATATACCATCATAGGTAACCGTCTAGTGATGACTATGAATTAATAGTCATGTAAGTGGTGCTCTTCCGGCCAATAAAGATGACCTCTTAAGCTAGGGCCAGTTGGTCCAATGTTTCGAAACAATTGCTTTGAACGGCAACGCGGCACGGTGACTTGAAGCTGGTACATTGTGAATCCTTCCAGAACTTAAGTCATTTGCGGCCCAGCATCACGGCGCGATAGATAAGCCAAATCACCATCGAGGGTTTGCCAACCAGATAATGGGTGATACCACTATAATAATACCATAATGTTAATAGTACCTACTTGACGGTGGTTCTGCACGGAGTAGCTTAGCCTGCTTTGCAAATCAGAGCGGGCATCTTGTCTATTCCTTGAGAATATAAAGCCAAGAAGCAAGAGGCCACTAGGATTGCTGACATGCTGACGACTGCGCAGCGCTGTTCCAAAACCAGAAGCCGCCGTCTTACATCCAGTCTCTAACGGAAGCGGGAAATGTGACGGGACATGACGACATGTCAGCACCCTGATACCTGCAGGAGCAGCCATGGGGCTAGCCGCCTAACTATGGCCGCTTTTTAGGGTCCATCTTTCATGTTACAGGTATGTCTTACGCAGTTACTGTCTAATTACACTCTATGCACTTCCACTACACCGAGACTATGAATCTCAGCATGGTTGTTATAAGTCTTGCAAAGCCCCCCTTCCCTCGGAATCCGATTTATGCCATTGCAATTTACAAGTCTCAACCACAGACCACATACTCGCAGTTTCGTCCACTTTGCCCTCGACTCTCGGCGTATTGCTTCCCGAGATTCACCCCGTCGTTGGCCCACAGGTCACCAGTCCGCCAGTTGACCACTTTTTCTAAAACTTCTAATCCCGCCTTCCCATCCTACTTTCGCTTCGTGCCCTACCGCCTGCACCTATCCCGTTATCTATTTTCCCAAACCGCCATGTCTGCTCCCAACGATCAGCGCCGCAGGCAACAGGCATCAACGCCCGTCGATCCGCGTAGACGCGTCGCCGAGGCTCCACGCTCGAACCCGACTCCGAGATCCCAGCCCACTACTTCCGGTAACGGTTCGACTTCGTCGAGCCGCCCGGCGCCCTCTGCACCTCCTGCCGCCCGACCGCCCCCGGCCTCATACGATGATGATGGTCCCGCTCCCCCGGAAGAACCTATTGACGACTACGACCGCGCCGAGGATACGCGCGACGACGAGATCGCACAGCACTGGGAACAGTGGTACCAGCGCATTGAAGAGGAGTATACCTACCCCGTTATCATCGACCAAGAGGTCGGCCCCGACATTTTCCGCCTCCTCGGCAGCGAGCCGCCGCTGTTCAACGTGCAGCGCAAGGCCAGACTCGGCCAGGGATTCGGCGGCGAGATGGGCTCCGTGAAGGTCGCCCTCCTTGACGGCGACAGCCTGGACGACGTCAAGGATGCCTTCCGCGGCAAGAAAGCGACCGTGATCATCAATGGCACCGAGCGGTCGGCCTTTGCCCCAACCAGGATGCGCAGCTCCGCTGCCGCTGAGTTGGAGAACGCCCCCCCCCCCGTCCAACCGCCCCCACCGCTCAATTGCCCATCCGCACCTCAGCTCCGTCCAACTCGGGGAACCAATCCGCCCCTCGGAGGGAGGAGCGTAAGGAGGAGCGGAGGGAGACACCGCGGGGAGGAGGCCAGGGCAACGCAGGGCGGGGGGGTGGGCGCGGGGGTGGCAACCAGGGGAACTGAGAACGGGGGTGAACACTGAGCAGTGAACCCTGGGACATGACGTGACGGATTCCGCTGGCCGGGCTAAAGCCTAGACTGTATGATAGCAAAGTACCGGGTACAGCAACTCTTATTGTGTACTTGGGTACTGTCCGAAAACTGTCTTCAGCTGGGTACCTAGGTATCTTTGTTCGTCTGATTTGAAACGTGAGGTTGACCCCACGAGTCATCACGAATAGTTTGTATTGAGGTTGTACGTCCTTTGACTGTATCTTTTATGCGTTGTAATGTTACCATGCTTCGTTGGCGTTTGGACCCTCCAACGTGACATTTGGGGGTCAAAAGGGGCACTCATTCCTGCACCTATATCCAACCGCTACCAAAGACCCCAAAGCCAAAGTATATTCGAGAAATCCCATAATCAAGTCCGTGACGCCATGAATCATCAAGAACCGCTCGAGCCACCACCCCCTTACTCTCGCCTCAGCAGCCCCAGGCCGCCGCCCATAGACGCACCCCCCGTGTTTGCATCAGGCCAACCAAACCAGCTTTGGGCTTGGGACTTTTCAAATTTACCTGACCAGGGCAGCTCCTCTGCCTCGAACCTGTTGGGTGGTAATGATACGCTCCCGCTCAATAATCCCGACGCTTTTGCCCATCAAGACATATTTGGAGAGCACAACGTCGTCGAACATGTCGAGGTCGTTGATTATCTCAATAACCCATTTACGCACCAGCCAGAGCATGGCAAGGAGATTGTCGTGGTTAGCCGTTTGAGCCCCATGTGGCTACATTGCCACCACAAGGTCTTCCCAGCTTTCTGGAAGTGCATGACATGCCCACCCAACGACTGCTTCAGTAGATGGGATATCCACGGAATGGAGGACCAAGCTCGCAACTACCGCCCGTCCTGCTATCGAGTTTATTGCGTAGCCCCGGCCACCCGCCAGAGTGTTCTGGTCAACACGCAAGAGGAGAGCATCATGACCCTCGGTGGCCAGAATCTGATGGCCAGCCGAGCCGAACAGCCATTGATGTGGTGCTGCCACTGCACGGGTTTCAGAAGTCGCGGTGGAGGCCACAACCTGGACTGTGCTCACTGCGCCAACTTCGAGGGGAGCTCATGCCGGGACTGTGTTGGATGCAACAAGTTTCTCGAGCCGATCAAATTCGGCAACGGCGATATGGTCCAGTTTGGCGTCGCGCACCTCCACGCCAGGGAACTGGCAATTGTGGCAGGAACAGAACCTGCTGACGGCCGGCGTGCTATGGTGATGCTGAAGACCGCTTACGGCCTGGATGACCCCGTCAGGGCCTGGTGGGTGTTTGCCTGCTCATCTCTAATCCTTGGCCACTCGCTTTATAATCTCGCACTTTCGAAACTCGCTTGTTCGTTAGGTCATCCTACTGTGGCACCAACGCCGCCGGAACTAACGGGTCACCCCGATACTATAGAATCCATCCGTCCGTCAATTGGAGCCCGTCGCTCCGAACATACCCAAGCTCCTCTTGCCCGCGGCACTGCTCCGACCGAGATAGTTTCGCCATCCGGACCGACTGGAAGCTCCCATTACAACAGCCATCGACCCGAGGATGACGACCTCATAAGTCTCCTGAATCGGCGCCATCCACATCCTGGTCCTCCAGGCCGAGTACCTCTCGACCCTTAGCAGCAGCGCTTGAGGCGCCTCGCATCCCCAATCGCGAAATGATTAGGTATGTTTTATAACACTGTGTAGCCCGGTGCGTACACCTCTTTCGGGGCTTTTACTTCTGCCTTGATATTCACAGGTGCCCACCCAAGAGCAATGGATGGTGGCGCTGGATGTATCAGTAATTGTGTTTCGACCGGCTGGCAGACTGAGGTAACAATTTCTGGGGTTAAGCATTGCCTCCGGCGGTGACTACCTAGGTAGTCTTTGGTGATATTTAACACAGGACATATTCTTGAGTTTAACGGAAACCCACCGAGCAATTCTCAAAACGCACAAGATGTTCTTGGGCAGTTCGGATCATCCCCTGTTATAGCCAGGGGCGGTTCCCACGCACATATTGACCATGATATAATACGAGGTACTCTTAACCCACAAAACGAGCTTCGGGTGTCCTTCAAATACCATGTTTGGCCTGGCAAAAGTGGAATTATTCCGATTGATGCATTTAACGCTGCCGCACCCAAACTTTGAACATTTAGGCAAATGTTACCTCTGCCATTAGCCACGTTCCTTTGAAGAGATTGTTGAGCCTGAGACTCACAGCCAACCTGTTAATGCTGAGTAATAAACAGGGGAAACTCATGAGAACACAACTTGTGAACAGATCAACCCCCGGCAGTTGGCCTGGCTGGCCCGGCCCCCGGGGCAAAAGTACGCTCGTTTAGCGAACTTGGCCGGCCCAAAAGAACCGTGTCGCCTGGTCAGGTCAACATTTTGTGCTGGTCCAGTCAGTTAGTTCTACCTCCTTTTAATCCAATTGGAAATTCTCCAACCCATGCGATTATCCCACGCACGTCAGGTATGCCTTGTGAATCTATTTCTCCATTTATGATAAGAGGCAGTAAAAGAAACCCGGCCATCATGCGGATACTATCTCTAATTACCGGGCCATTCATTGTTGGTTTCGCGTTTGCTTTCCAAGAGCAGAATGGCGGTATGAGGAGTTGCTTATGGAGCCCATTTACTCTGGAAGATCAGCTCACATGTGCCGCGTCGTTCTCGACGCGGCGGCCATCACCAGTCTTGAATGTGAAGACTCCTGAACACTTGGTCAAATTCGACGAACGGCACGAAACATCTCAAACTTACACGGTTCCGCCACCCTGGAAGGGACCAGAGCACTGCCACGTAGAGTTCTGCATATTCTCCAACCCCGAGTCCGGCGAGGGCATGTCTCTCGTGACCACGTCTCGGAGCGCCTTTGCCGTGGCCATCGCCGAAACGCCCCTGAGCACCGGCCTCGAGGCGGGCTCCTTCTACGAGGCCGAAATCCCCGGCAAGGGCAGCGGGCTAATCGCGAACCGGACGATCCGGAAAGGCGAGATCATCATGGAGCGGCCGCCGGCGCTGTTGATCCAGGCCGAGCCGCACGTCGACCTCGAGCCGGAGGTGCGTGACGAAGTGTACCAGGCCGCCGTCGACCGGCTTCCCGAGCCGGCTCGCGCCCGGTTCCTGCGCCAGGTGGGCAGCACCATCTACGACAAGGTCGAGCGCAACTCGTTCCGCATCTTTGTCGACGGCGACCGCAAGCACTCGGCCCACCTGGGCGTCTTTCCAGAAGTGAGCAAGTTCAACCACGACTGCCGGCCAAAGTGAGCCACCCCCCTCCCCCAAACCACACCGCCTCACCTTCCTTTCTACCACCTCTGCTCCCAACCAACCCCCCATCCTAAACCCCCTCCCAGCGTGCACTACCGCCTCAACGGGCTCAAACACACTACCATCGCCGTGCGCGACATCCCCGCGGGCGACGAACTGACCATCTCCTACATCTACGGGCGCGCCTCCCACGCCACGCGGCAATCCCAGCTCCGCGAATGGGGCTTCACCTGCACGTGCCCGCAATGCACGCTCAACGCCACGGAAACCGGCGCGTCCGACAACCGCCTCCGGCAGATCGAGGCCCTCGAGACGGAGATCGAGCGCATCATGGGGGCGCGCGGCGCGGCCGGGCTGCGGCCCGAGATGGGGGGGAAGCTGGTCGAGCTGTACCGCGCGGAGCGGCTGGATGCGTACCTGGCGCCGGCGTATACAAGGGCGGCGCTGATTTATGCCATGTTTGCGGAGGCGGAGAGGGCGAGGGAGTTTGCGGCGGAGGCGGTGGGCGCGTTGGAGAGGGAGACGGGGCCGTGGGCGAAGGATGTCCAGTCTATTGAGATGGTTGGCTAGGGA